TTGGTTCTCTTATGATGGTGGTTTGTCAATCAAAGAACTTGGTGGGCATTTTTTAAACTGTGGATGGCCAGTTTTTGATACCTCATAACCAAGCTGGATTTTGGCCCTACTCACACTTACTTATAGGTGGAAAATTTTGGAAAGAAAACACACACACTCACACACACAGCAGGAAGGAAATACATATAAATGTTACATCAGAGAAACACAAAATTAACGGTTAACTCCACCAACCACCACATGTGAGGACTACTTCTTCTTCATCCTCCTATTGATGATGATTCCATTGCCACTTTTCTGCGTTTTTCTTCTTCGTTGGTTAATTGCAAATCTTTTCCCTTCAAGTTTTCTTTCTTTCCTTTTTTTTTTTTTTTTTGGCAAAAAAACCCCATAGGTAACAAAACGATTCATAACGGACCACGTGGAGGTTTGGCTAATGGGATAGCTTAGCAAAAACTGAATAGATGACATTAGAGAATCTAATTTTAGCAATCGATGATCTTGTTTTATCAATAATGATAAGTCAAACATTATTGGAGATTTTTAGATCTAAATATACACTTATTTAAGATTGTAAATACGACAAAGTGATAGGTATTATTTATATGAATGAGTGTATTATCTTTTCCGTTGCAAAGAAAACTTCGTGAGAAATAAAGTATGGTATATTTGTTGCATTCTTTAGTTTCATATAGTTCTTTAAGATGATTTGCAAACTATATAGAATGCCTTAAACACTCTCAACTCTTAACTGATTTCAGTATTAACTTAATTCTGTTTTATAAATATTGAAGTTTTACTCTTTTTTCTCATATTGAAACTTGTTGTTTCATTTTAATAATATAAAATCTACGGTTTACAAGAGATCAATACTTTATCCCAAATAAAACATCTTTGTGAGATGGTATGTTCTAATTTTATGGGATCTCCCAGAAGGGACTTTAGCTTTACTATATGTTCTTCACTCTTCACAATTTGATTTTTCAATAACGCTAGTCATAAGAGGAGTACATTGTGAAAATTAACAAAATAAGGTGATAGATTGTTACGTTTTTCTTTTATGGGATGGCTTTACAAAAAGCAAAACCATGAAGGGGCTTCCTGTGAATTCGATTAACTATTACATTCATTTTTTCCTCTCTACCACTCGGACACACTGCTCATTTCACACTTTTTTTGGTTCATGGGATTCTATTCTTTTTCCTCAGTGAGAGTATTTTACTTTATCTGGCCAAATCTGTAGGAATATACTGACAAATTGAATGCTGTACGATCTTAATTTGTGTAAGAACTGTCGAAACCGAAACGGTGAAAACCCGCTTCAATTGACAATGGAATGATCATCGGGAGACAAAACAACTAATTACAGTTTCGATTTGACAATAAGTAATTTGAAAAATCAAATCAACACTTTGTTAAGGTCTTCCATGCGGCCATGTAATTGTTTATTTTTTTTTACCACCCTAGCAACTATAAATTGTGAGGGTGGGAACTCAAAAATTTTAGGATGATAATTTGTGACACGACATGAATCTAATTTGAAAATTGTTAAATTTCATTGTAACATGTACAAATTGAACATGTTTGAATCACATGCAACCCACATTTATTACAAATACAAAAACTTATCGCGTGAAAATCTAATAATTAAAATTTTCCTATAAAAATTCCCCTTTCAAACACCTCTTATGATTGCCACGTGACATTAACAAAGTATTAAATTGCCCTTTTGTCTAACCATCACTAAATTACTAAATCCCCCTTTGCACTTTATGTGACACGTTTTTTTTAAAATTTTTTCTTTATATTTCATTCAATTAGAGTGGTTTTCTTTTCTTAATTATGGAGTCTAAATTGAATTGATCAATTAGGTTTTTGTTACAAAATGTCAATTTTGTTTTAAACGTATACCCTTCGGATGAAACTTATTACAAAGCTATTAGAAATCTCCAAAACTAAGTATTGATTTGGCACGACCAATGGAGAATATCAATAAATCATCTTACTAATATTTAAACTTATTAGGATGCTTTTATATTTTGTCTAATATTTATTTCAACACATATATTCGATTAAGTCTATTTATATTTAATAAGTAACACGTATAAAACATTTTTAAAACATACATGACGAAATACAATTTTTTTTTTTGGTTAAATACAAATATTTTTATGATCACACTTATAAAACATTTCTAAATCCTTCAAACATTTCTAAAATATATCGCTCTAAAAACAATTTTTTTTTTCAAATATAAACATTTCTAAGATCTACAGATAGATTAGGCCAGGGACGCGCATTGCGCGACTAGACATCACTAGTTTATTACAAATACAAAGACTTATCGCGTGAAAATCTAATAATTGAAATTTTCGATTTTTTGTATTTAAACATAAAACAGAATCCTATTATTATCTCTATTCGTAAGTAATAAGAAATTTTGAGCATTTAACTTGCAGTTTGTTATGTTTACAAATACCAGAGATAAATATATTTATTAACCACTCAATTGTCAACAAAACACAGGGATTTTCCACAAATGATCTCTTCAGTTACCGTTTATTTTTAACCATAAGAGTAAGTTCTACCTTTTGGAGTTGTACTTTCTTCGAAATTGTATTACGAGATTAGAGAAAATGAGAAATAATAAAACCTCTCCAGCCCAAGAACAAAGTCCATCCAGCTTTCGACCTTAAGTTTAAGTACATGGGCCCAACCCATCTAGATGTCTCCAAAGAAGAAACTAAAGAAAGAAAGAGTCACGGCAAGGGTATTTAAACTGAACTAGATGCTTGGCCCGGGCATCTACTTTAATTTTGTGTTAATATATAAATAAATTCTTGATTTAGAAAAAATAAATAGCTACACATTTGATTTTTCTCCCTTTTTTAGCCAAAAAAATAATAAAAAAATCATCTGCCAAAGGAGAAAAAATATTAAAAAGTACAACGATGTAGAAATCATACAAAAGAATGTGGAGTAATAAAGAGGATAAGTTTATAGACAAATTTAAATGCTATTTTAATTTGATTGATAAATGATAAATGTTAGGAGTTAAAATTGTGTAGCTACTTTTGTAAAAGTAGCTTTTGTTTCTCCGGATAAGAATTTTTTTTTTCTTTTAAAAAGGGATAATACGTGGCACAATGGTTAATGCAATATGGTGCATTTGGAGCCAAAAATTTTTAATAAGAAGTTGACACATCAACATCCTGTATTCTGCTTTGATAGAGTATAAAAGGGATTAGTTATTCTAGAATTTACTTACAAGACATAAAAACAATTATGTTCAATTTAATTCCTTTTCAGTTTTTGACTTTTTTCCCCTTGAAAATTAAATCCAATCTGAGTTATGGATTGACTGCATTTCATTACCCTCAGAAATTTGGTTCCATCCGTCTCAAAGTAATTCCCTTTTCGTACAAAAGAAAATCATTTACTCCATGAATTTCGATTTTAGTTGTACGTATAAAATAATCAAAAAAACTTATTAACATAATAAAAATTTTATTAAAGAAGATATAACCTCGATAAAAAATCATGATAATCAAAATCATGTCACATAGTTTCACGCCACCTATTAAATCGAATTATTGACGAAGTTAGGTGAGTTTTTTTTTTTTCATATTTGGAAGGTGTCCATCGATAACACTAACTTATCCCCTCGCTAAATCTCATTATAGTTGCGTATATTCAAGAGATTAAAAGTTTAAGTTTTTTTTTTTTTTTGGTAAAAATTAAATTTCATTACTTGAACTAATCAAGAGACATTTTCCTCTTTCTATTACATTGCTTTATAGTATACTAACATTTTCATAATACCGTATATCATCATTACTACCTTTTCTACAATATATTTGCATTTTACATCTTATTCCAACCTTAATCATTCTAAATCTTTCTGTTACTTCAACTTGCACCTGCCTAAATTTTCTATTATTTCTTTCAAACCACAGACGATACACTGTTGTATTTATTGCTGCAAACAGAAGCTTCCTCTTGTCTTTTTTGCCTTTCCAAATCTTCGTCAGTCTGTGTTTTTGCACATCTAGATTATGCAGTCTCAAGCTTAGCCCCAGTTAGTCTCTTATCAGTTTTATAAACTTATGAGCATAATCACAACAAAAGAAAAGATAATCCCTGCTTTTTTCTGGTCCTGAAGACAGCTCACATTGACATTTTCTGTTAGTAACTTCGTCTTTTCCAATCTCTCTTGGATAAGCAATTCGTTTTTTAGAGCCAACCATAAGATGAAATTATGTTTAGACATGCTATGCTGATTCTATACCAGAGCTGATTCTTTGCATGTTGTTCTAATGTCCAATGAGCCAGTTATAATCACTCTTTGATGTATAACCTTTGTCATTGTTCCCTATTCATTGGCCATTCTGAAAACCTTCCTGTAAGTCATTTTTAACTGTTATAACTTTCTTTCAATGTCAGTTACTATTTGGTGAAATTTTATAATCCCAAATGTTACTCTGTTTTAGATAATATATATGGACCCACTGTATTCAGAGACTAACTTTATTTTTTACAACATTCCATAATTGCTTCCCCAGTAGTGCTTTGTTCCATATCTCTGGCCTTTTTATATGCAAGTCTCATTCTAATTTGCTTTTGCAAACTTCCTCCCTTGCTACTAAAGACCAGAATATATCGGATTCATTATTTTTCTCAAAGAAAGCACCTGCAATGCCTTTCTATCTGTTGAATAACAGTCTTTGAAAGTATAAAAGTACTTGACCAATATAAATGCAAATTCATTAAAACAAAATTGGCTAAAATCAATCTTCCGATATACAACAGATGGCGTGTAGACCAACAGTTCAACCTTGCAACTATCTTGTCAATACTGCTTGATATTGAATCTGTTTCCAGGCTGTGGGAAAAATAGGGATGCGTAAACACGTCATAGGAATAGTTCCCTCTTGGAAAACCATTATTTTCTTTATTCTTTGCTGCAAACCTTCGTTTAAGTCACCAAAGTAGACATAGGACTTTTGCATATTAGCAGTTAATCCTGTTGTCGCAGCAAAATGATCTAATGTCGTCTTAATTTTCTTGACAGTAGGGATATCAGCACTCCACATTATGATCAGATCATTGGCGAAACTTAAATTAGTGATTTTAAGTTTAGGATATTTCTTCATAAATAAAGTTATAGATGTTGTTTGAATATTTACAGTAAATTGTGAGAATCCAAACGGCAAATTAGATGGGCCTAACTTTAAACTGGTTGTTGGGTAAAGAATGACGACACTGTAGATCCAATCCATCAACCAACAAAACCAATCGGGTATGGGCAAACGGCAAAACGGCAGCAGCTGAAAAAAAGAACTTATCGGGAGACGTGCCAAGAAAAGTCGCACATCAGAGTCAAAATCCAATCAATCAACTAATTTCTTAAACCCCCGCTAAAAAGTACTGCTACGAATCCATTTTTCTTTTTTCCATTTTATTTTCTCGACTTCCCGGCAGATCGTTAGTTCACCAGTGCTCCTCCGGCGCCGGCGACCACGACCAAGACTCAGGTAAGCCTCGCCGTGACCTAATTTTTGTTTAACTTTTCCGAAGCTCGATCACTCATTGATTTTTTTTTATTTTTCCCCGTTTCTTCCGAATCGGTCCTTTTTTTTCTCTTCTTCGTCGGAATTTCGCTTTGACATACTGTATATTCATTTTTCTCTCCAGTTGCGAACAAGCGAATTAGTTTGGGAGTATTGAAGATGGCAATGTTGATAGCTTGTCGACGAGTATACAGTAATCGATCAGCAACATCAGCTACGACGACATCGTTCTTCAGATGGATCTCTACCAGGACGGAATACGATACTTTTGGACCCATTGATGTTCCTTCTGATAAGTCCGTACACTCTTTTTGTTTCTCTATTCGTTTCTACGTTTCAGAGTCGTTTTTTTTTTCCACTTGTGTTTTTGTTGATGCTGGTTGGTCCTTGAGGTATAGATAGATATTGACTACATGGTAATGCTGCCAAGACCCAGTAGTTTGTTCTTTGTTTGGGCATTTGTGGTTTCAACATTCAGCACATCACCAATCTAGAAGCCTTCAAGCCCTGAACTCGTGATATAATTTATTTTATGTTGGGTCGTAGAAAGAAATTTTTGGATTTCATACACCCACCGGTTTCCGAGGATGTGAGCAGGAGTGTTTATGTTGAATTGAATTCCATACTCCTTAGTTGAGTGTGGTTTTCTGTTGGCAACTGCTGTATGTTTGGTTTTTTAGCTGCGAATTTTTTTTTTTATTGATACTCATTCTTTGGGCCTTGTGATTGATTTTATTCAGGTTGTGGGGTGCTCAGACTCAGCGGTCACTTCAGAACTTTGATATTGGGGGTCAGCGAGAACAAATGCCTGAACCTATTATTCGTGCCTTTGGCACTCTTAAAAAATGTGCTGCTAAGGTTTGCTCTTCCTTTTCGAATGAAGCAGTCTGTTGTGTGCTTTTCTTTTCAGTGATACAGACTCTCTACTTTTAATCGCAAATTTGCAGGGTAATTTAGATGTAGGTTTCTAAATATTTGATGGGATTAATTATAGCAGAAGAGACAAGGAAATTACATGTTTAAATCTCGACCCTTTCTGTCAATCCATCATTGTTCAATCTAAATTTTGCTGAGTTTTGTTAGCATCTGTTGTGTGAGCTGCACCCTTATTTGCTTGTTTGCTTACCTTGGCAGCTAACTCCTTGTATTTGTGACACTATCAGGTGAATATGGAGTATGGCCTAGATCCCACCATAGGGAAGGCTATAATGCAAGCGGCACAAGAAGTTGCTGATGGGAAGTTAAATGATCATTTTCCCTTGGTGGTTTGGCAAACTGGAAGTGGTACTCAAAGTAACATGAATGCCAATGAGGTCCCAAAAAGTTATTCACTCTGCTGTCAATTTGTTTGGTTTAGTTGGATGTGTTTGCTGAAGAATCTTTTTATAGTATGCAATGTGACGGGAAATGAAAACTTTTTCTTTTTGTGATTTATGATTGTTTAGGGGTAGACATCATAAGGGTTTTCCGCGGGGAGCTTGTAGAACTTTTTTCAGCAGATATGAACATTGTTCCTTAAAATTTCATTTGCCTAGGATGTGAACTTGGTAGATATGTTGTCAGCTTTTCGATATTTTAAACAGAGGATGCAGAATCCAAAAACATGTGACTGATATGCCATAATAATTTTGTTGACTGAATACAAGTGTTTAGGTGGAGTTGTCAATCGTTTAACAGATCAGCTGGTCCTAGTAATTTGAAAGAAAGCAGAAACATTGACATTAAATCCTTGTAATTAACTTATGGAAGAGAATGAGATGCTTTGGTTGTTCAGATTTCTTACTCGTTTGGATAATGCTTGAATGAAACTGTTAGAAGTTATATTCGTTAATAAGTTTTGTCAAATGCATCATTTTCTTTTTCATCTTTTTTTTTTTTTATCAAAAAATATATTTCATACTCCCATTCGATCTGTGTGTACAGGTTATTGCCAATAGAGCTTCTGAAATCCTGGGCCACAGTCGTGGCGAGAAGTTTGTGCATCCAAATGACCATGTGAACCGATCTCAATCTTCTAATGATACTTTTCCAACTGTAAGCATCCTGGTGGAAGGCAGTCAAACACTGAATTTCTTATGCAATTTGAATTGATTGGTTGAACTTTTCATGAACAACTTAAACATCTCATATGTAATTTGTTTAATGTACAGGTGATGCATATTGCAGCTGCACGTGAAGTAAATTCTAGGTTACTACCAAGTCTCAAAGTGTTGCACTCGACAATGCACGCAAAGGTAATACTAGGATTATTGTAAATTTATTTGTTTTCTAATTCAACAGAGGTTTGTTATTTCTGAAACTTAGATTCCGTGGATATGGATTCCTTTCTAATGATACTGGGCTTATTTATTTTTGACAAAATTCTGTCAGGTTATAAACTTATTAAGTATTGATAGAACATGAGAGAAATATTTTTAATCCTTGCTTTCTTCCTTGTGTGCTAAGAGAGAGAGAGAGGGAGGGAGGGAGGGAAGGAGTTTGGGACTCATTAATGTGTGTATTATTTAGACCGCTTGTACTATAACAGCAAGATTCACAGCCTCTTTTTTTTTGTTATTATGGTCAGTCAAAAGAATTCAAGGACATTGTTAAAATTGGGCGTACTCACACTCAAGACGCAACACCTTTGACTCTTGGACAAGAGTTTAGCGGATATGCAACACAGGTAAGATCTTTTTACATCCTCGAAGTGCCCTGATTAATGTAATCATTGGAATAAATTCTACTTTACCTCCAGGAAAAATGCTATATTGACTACCTTTTCCATTGATAAATTCCCTCCTCGATCTATTCTGTTTGTTAATACTATATTGCTCTTACTTATGTCTCCCGACATAATCCTTGTAAATATGAGCTTTTGGGGAAAAAGAAAATGTTGTGCTTAGCTGCAAATGTTGTTGGAGGTTGTCGTGTTGATAATAGTCTTTTCAGTTTTTGATTTTCCAGGTTGCTTTCAAATGTATTGAGCTAATCAGTCTCTAAATTCAGGTTAAATATGGCATTGATCGTGTATCATGCACCCTTCCTCGCTTGTATCAGGTTCGGAATCGCTAAACCTCCCTGTTTTTACTCTGTCTGTCCCTTTTTCTCTTACTTTTTGTCACTTGAACTTGTCACTTGAACAGCTTGCTCAAGGAGGCACAGCAGTGGGGACAGGTTTGAACACAAAGAAAGGGCAAGTATTTTACAGTTTGTGCTTCAAAAACTTGTCATTTTTAAGCCACCTTTTTATGTCTGTTGTTTTATAGGGTGTGCCACACTTTAATCGGTTGCTTTTTCTTCAGGTTTGATGTAAAAATTGCTGCTGCTGTGGCAGAGGAGACAAAGTTACCCTTTGTAACAGCTGAAAACAAGTTTGAAGCACTGGTATCTCCACATTGTTGTTTCTTTGCCTCTATTATATTAAATGAGCAAGTCCTTTAGCCAATTGGGTTGCTAATCTATGATGCAACCATTTCTGTTCTTTTTATAGGCTGCTCATGATGCATTTGTTGAAACAAGTGGAGCCTTGAATACAGTTGCTGCTTCTCTCATGAAGATTGCAAACGATATTCGGTTCTTGGGAAGGTAATTATATGAGATAACCAATTTATAGTATTTGTAACTGGTGTAATTGCTTGGTTTTTTCCATTGCTATTTGTATCTGGATTGAAGGTTTGTTCTTTTTCTTGTCCAGTGGTCCGCGCTGCGGTCTTGGGGAACTTATTCTTCCTGAAAACGAACCTGGCAGCAGTATTATGCCCGTAATTTCTTTGTCTTTCGCACATGGTTAAAGCAGTGTTGTACTGGGTAGGTATAATAAGTAATTACATGTTTTTTTACTTTGGGCCCTGTTTGATTTCAGGGGAAGGTAAATCCAACTCAGTGTGAAGCCCTGACCATGGTGTGTGCTCAGGTATGCCAAGTTCTTTTCGCTTCGAGGAAAAACAAAATGAAGATGACGTTTACTCTACCGGTGCATTAAGAAATATAATGATTTTTATCCAAACTGTTGCTGTTGTCTATAGATAAATCCATTGTAAGGTCTAGACTAGAAAGAGTTAGAGAAAAGAAGGAACCTTTCAATAAATACGGACTAACTTCTTTGCCCAGTCCCCAAATACTCGAGTGTTTACTCTAATCTCCAACCTTTGCAGGTTATGGGAAATCACGTGGCAATCACAGTTGGTGGATCAAATGGGCATTTCGAGTTAAATGTATTCAAGCCTATGATTGCTAGTGCTCTTCTACAGGTATTTCTGGTTGCTTTGTTCTCCTACAATTTTTGTGTTGTTGATGCATCACCTTGCAATTTACCTGGTTACTTTAATTGGAAATGTTTCCATTCATTGTTGATAACAGTTAATACGAAGCAAGAATGCTCGTGGTTAAGAATATAAGAACACAGTTTTCTACCAATAACATGAAAGTGACAGTTTTGACTCAACTATCTACCAAAGTTTAAGCTTATCCAAATCAAGGAAGACTTAAGTTACTCATATAGCTGCGACTAATCAGTCGTCTTTGTTTACATTGTGATAGTGATGATCTCTTTTTTCCATTTCTTACATTCTGAAGTTCTATACATTTAGTGTGCATTTTTGGTTTGGCATGAAAATGTTGTGGAGTTACTTTTTGCAATGTTTGATATAATTCACGTTATTTTCATGCTAGTAATGAATCTTGCTTTTGCTCAATATCTGATGTAAGACTTTTTTTTGACACTGCCTGCAGTCTTTGAGATTGCTTGCCGATGCATCTGCCTCTTTTGAGAAGAATTGTGCAAGAGGAATTCAGGCTAACCGAGAAAGAATTTCCAAATTACTGCACGAGGTTAGTGAAGTCCTTGATCCTTGAATGCATACATTTGTGATTTGCTGAAAGCTTACTAAGTTTTTTGGTTTCTTTTGCTGTCAACACTCTTGCAGTCACTCATGCTGGTCACATCATTAAATCCTGTACGTTTGTCGGTCCTAGTCTTTCTTTCTTTTTCTTTTTCCCTCCCTATTATTCCTTTCTACTATTTCCTTGCTAACTTGTTTGAATGATGATCATGTCAGAAAATTGGTTATGACAATGCGGCCGCAGTTGCCAAAAAAGCCCATAAGGAAGGAACTACTTTGAAGGTGATTGTTGTCAGCCAATTATTTTGCTTTCTCTTTGTTCTTCGTTTTCATCCATTTCTAAGAGGCAGTTTAAACTTTTCTCATATGAAGGCTTTTTTCGTTTCAACATCTCTCAGTAAGTAATCTTTAATTACACAAGAGAATTCTTAAGAATAAAAGCGTTTTGTGCCTAGACATAGATGAACAAAAAACGGGGGCACTTAATCTAAGATGTTGGGATAGACATTTGAACACACTAGATCAGATATAATTAGTGGCGAATGCAGCAGAGCATAAGTGGCAGGAAAAGAGAAATACAGACTTAGTTTAGACTGAAGTGTACCATTAAAGCTTTGCGGAAAATAAAGAATCACCTCAAATTAATCAAGCAAGGCACCTGATAAAAAAGAAACTGAAAAGAACCTCTCGGGAACCTATTTGTTCATTTAAGCTTTAAATGAAAAGAATGTTAGTAGGACATGATGGTGACACATGATTCTTAGACCCAATGTTGCATAGTGCTGTAAAAATTTTATATTTGTATTAACAAATTTCAAGAGGATACATTTGGATGAATTTATTCTATCGAATTGCAAATCTGACAAAGTATTGTGTATTGCAGGAGGCTGCCTTAAACCTTGGAGTTCTGACCTCTGAGGAATTCGATCAACTTGTCGTGCCAGAGAAAATGATTGGTCCACTTTATGAAGAATGAGTACAGCAGGTTTAACCCAATTTTTTTTAGAATAAGGTGATGGAGGAGCCAGGGATAGCCCTTATTTCAGAAAGAATACTTGAGATCTGAGAAGTTCTGTTCCAGTTCTCTGCACTACCCTATAAGTTAATAGGAGGAGAAATAACCAAACATTTTTGCGGTAAAAGCAGCGAACAGCTATTTTTTCAGACAGATGAGATGCGGATGAAAATGACATAAATTAGCCTGAATTGCATTATTGGCGCGGCTTTGTAACTCCAAGCTGGCAAATACTGTTGATTGATTTTTCATCTCGGTTCATCTTAAATGAAGTGACTGTTGAATGGCATATATTTATAATCGTTTCGTTTTTCTTTTTTTTTTTTTTGTTTTCGAGGAAGCGGTAATAAATTTTGATTTGCTGTGCTTCTATTTTAAAATATATGTCATTTTAGAATTTGATAAATTTTTTTATATATGTCATTTTCACACATTCAGTATTTATAATGAATTTTTATTATTGGTTTATGATGAATTTCAGTATTTATAATGAATTTTTATTATTGATTTATGATGAATTATATAGACAATAAATAAAAATATTTTTGTATTTTAACTATATTAATTAATATTTTTTTTGTTTTGATTTCTTTAAAAAAACATATAAAAAAAAAATAGAGGTAGTAGTTTTAGTTTTGAGACGGAAAGACAGTCGTCATTCAATTCTACCTAGTTAAGAAATCTTTCTATTGTCCTTCCACACAGATTTAACATGTCATACAAGAAGAACGTACATCGTAGAATGCAATCCACACACACACAAACAAAAACCTTTGTCCGAGAAATAAACATGCAGTTTATCATGTATTGCTGTTCAAAAAAGCTACATCAGGAATATTGTGCCATCAATTATCATGTTTGCAAAAAAAACAAGCACTATCACGCGCAAAATGCAGTATTCTAACATCTTTGATTCACAATTGTGCAACAATCGTATAACATCTAATTTATTTTCCGTGGGCTCTAGGGGTGAGGACCGATATAAACATTGAGCTTGACTACTTCACCTTTAAGTTCGCTCAATTTATTCATCTCAGTAAACATCTGAAATAAGACACAACCCCACAGGACATCCATCCCTCGAGTAATGTTTCCATTTTCCACTTGTTACACTAAGACAAGCACCAAATCAACCAAACTATAACAACCTACTAATCATTATAGGGGCACAAACAGCACGAACACCATTGATGATAAAAGCCAAAACTAGATACTAGGTTCCGAACGATATAAGATCTCAAAATTCCTTTCATCAGTTTGTAAGAAACTAAAGTTTACACGACGAAAAATAAAAAACAGTAACCAGTCAAAAACAGTGAACTGCAACACTAGTAAAGACTTGAAGCTGGTCCAAAGAAATAACATATATTTCCTTCTAATCATACGCTGATTTACTTCTTCGATTTCTTTGATCCCCTGATTTACTTCTTCGATTTCTTCGATCCCCTGCAGTCAACAAGCAGAAGAACATCAGAAAGATGTTTAACTAAGCCAAGCCAAATAATCGATATTTTGCATCATACTGGCAAGGCACTTACTGAGCTGTTTGGGCTGGAGCTGCTGCTGCTGCCGCTGGAGCTGGTTTCTCTCCTGGTCCCTGTCATTACCAAAATTGAATACCTCAGAATCCCAATTGATAAACAAGTCATCACAAAATCAATAACACTGCTGAAAGAACAGTGGTTTTGCCAATTCTGGGTAGGGAAGGGAGTGGGTGGGGGAATGCAATGTCTCCATCATTTGTCAATGGATAAGTAAAATTCCAAGCTACTTCTACGCATGCTATCCCCCTTTAACAGTAAAAGACAATTTCGAATCATAGAAACAGTTAATACCTGAGCTAAACGTTCCTCTCTCCTGGCAATCTTTCTTTCCCTGCTAGCCTTGTTCTTTGCACGCTTAGCCTCAAACTGATCAGACAAAGTCTTTTCTCTAGCCTTCTCAGCCTTAGTTTTGTGGATGCTCTCCATCAGCACACGTTTGTTCTTGAAGACATTACCTTTGACCTTCATATACATGTCATGATACATGTGCTTGTCAATCTTCTTTGCTTCTCTGTATTTCCTGAGAAGACGTCTAAGGACTCTCATCCTCCTCATCCACAGTACTTTTGTTGGCAACCTAGCTTCCCTGGTACCCTTACGTTTACCTGGACAATGATGAGGGAAAAGAACACAATTAATCAGCATGATGATTATCAGTATGCATGGAATTCAAGCTTAAGAATAAAAGCATCTTTACAGTTAATATCCTCCTTTTAACAGCCCCAATCAATTTCAAACTTTCTGATAGTTACAAAATCTAAAATTCACTACATTAACAACCTTTTCTATGTCAACCAACAATAATCACATACAAGATTATTCAAACCCCCACCAGCAACTGATAATCCTATTAATCTAGACAGCAAAGCAGAACATATTACCATAACCAGAATGCCGGCCCTTTCGCTTGGCCTCCTTCATTCTGCGAGCCCGGGACCTTGAGTGGATCTTGGTAGGCTTCCTGATGATAAAACCATCCTTAACCAGCTTCCTGATGTTCTGGCCTGTGACAGACAAACCAACAGTAACATTAAATTAAAAGTAACAATCGGAAACTCAATCCAACAAAACTACTTGATCCAGAACACAATTTAAGCAGCAATATCACAGCTTTACAAGTATCCAAAAAATATCCCAATTCTAGCTAACAGGCTAGCAGTACAAAGCCTTAAAGTTTGTTCCATTCACCAAATAGCCAACTTTGTTTAAATTTTTTATAGAAAAAGCCAAGTAAAGCTAGAGAAACGCCAGCTAAACAAATAAAGCATCATATCTAAGGTGTCTCAGACATCCAAGGAAGGATAAAAGCAGCATAAACTCTCCAGCCCGGCGAAGGCGAAAGCTCTTAGGCGGCCACTGCGAATGTTTAGAGAAACAAGCCTTACAAAGTTGGCATCATCGACACCAATAATTCATTCTAGCTTCCAGAATTACAAGAAAACAAAAACATGAAATGAAAAACCAAATCAATCCTACAAGCACCCGAGAAACCAAACACCCATAATCCAACACCATCACTTGCTAATCTGAGAAATCCTAATAGAAACTAAACAAACCCACATAGAAAGACCAATAACATAATCAGAAAAAACAGAAACTATGATGCCTGAAACCTAGTTCGATCAAGAAAAGGAAGTAAAGAAATGCAAAGGGTCAAAAAATGGAAGCCACAAACTTACGAGAATTGGCCATGGAGATTTCGTTCACTTCATTTGGGTCAAGCCAGACTTTTCCCCGACCACACTTGAGAACGCTGGCGGAAAGCCGCTTCTGAAGCTTGAGCGACACCATCTTCTCCGACTTACCCTTTCTCTGTTCAGTCTTAGCGGCCCCAAGGCTGAAGTTTATGGCAGCCGTGGAAGAGGAAAGCTTTATATATGAAGTCTTTTTTAACCTAGGGTTTTTCCTTTGGGGCCTTGTTTAGGCGGTCTCTGAAATTATCCTTCTCTTTCTAAGCCCGTTTATTTGTTAAGAAACTCCACAATTGGGCTTCAGCCAAATCTTTTCGACTTTGGTATTTTCCTTTTATGTAGCCGTTTGATGAAGACTGAACAAAAATAGGTGTATTGGGCTGATTGTTAGTTTAGTCCAGTAGGATATTAATATATTTTCCGTGGGGTACCATGCAGAATATTACAAATACCCCCGCTCTAAAATATTGTTCAATTTATATTTTTATTTCTAGTACAAATTATATTAAAATAAAAATTCAAACTGAAAAATTATTTCGAAATTGGATTAAATTCAAACTACTGTTACTTGTGCTGCTGAAGATTAAAGAATGCAGAAATATAAATTTGTGGCTGAAAATGTGAGCATGCGCCAAAAAAGAAGACTAAGAAGATGAAACAATAATAAGTAGAAGGTGGCTAATTATAACTGAAGAAGAATGTAACTGCCAAAAGAGAAGAAAACAGTTTGCCTATTTAAAAATTTGGCAAGTTGTTGAATAAACAAATCCTTCAAGCTGTTGCAAGTTGCTGCTTCCACCATTCTGTTGCAAGAAAGAAGGTCAGATTTCAACCAATCCAAGCCTCTCCAATTCTCTATAAATAGTCAGCCAATAACAGTTAGAACAAAAAACAGATTGGGTTATTAGAATCAGTCCAAAATAGTTTAGTTTAGTTAAATTAGTTGGGTAGAAACAAGGTAGTAACAGGAGCTAAGAGTGCAGACAGAATCTACCCCTGCTACCTCTTTTCCCTTCTATCCTCTAACCTTTTAATCTTAATCATGTCTTATCTTTCGTGCTTTGTGATCTGATGTTTAACTCAATAAACATGAGTAGCTAAACTTAGTTAAGAGTTCGATCCATACTATCTTTATGCGAAGGTTTTGATTCAATTTCCTTAGATGAGACATTGTACCTATATAAGTGTTTAAATTAACCTTTTGATTAAATTGGCCACTTCATTGATTGTTCATGCATAGTTATGAAGATCTAATAGGGAGAGCATAACTTTAGAACTGCTTAATCTAGTCTCTGACAAAGGAAGAGATCGACCCTTTGGTTTCAATCATCAACGAGAGTTAGGTGCATTGGCATAGTTGATCATATAGGGCTTAAGAGCTAAATGGCTTAGATTAACGAATTATACTGACTGAGAGGTAGGTAATTTTGATAATTTAGAACTCTTTATTCTGTATGAGAGGAATTATAAAGAATATATATGTCTGATCAAACAATAAATCATACACAAACAGGATTACATGAATCAAAACTGGAACATAAAGATAGGAAGGTTATTGACCCTTATGCTCTTCACTCTGTCAAGTGACTATTCTCACTCTCCCAAGTGACAAACCTGTTCAGCTTGTTTTTCCTCTGTTTTGCACAATAATCAGATTTTAAGCGGTTAACTGCCATCTCTGTGGAACGACCCTACTTACCGCTAGCTAATAGCTTTAAGTAGGTTTTTATAAATTTCTTTTAGGAGTGTCAACGACTCATTCACCAACTTTGGCCCCATCTATATTAACACAACTAACTGTCTTACTAGGATTATTGGTGCATGGGTTCTTGGTCGTGTATCAATGGTACCCATCTACTACCAATAAGAGGTAATCAATTTTATACTACTCCTTGGAAACAATTATATTTTGTTAAGTATATATGTGTAAAGAGTGATAGAGTTAATGAAAAGTTGTATACTGACTTATATATATTTTCTTGGTCCTAAAAAAATTTAGATTGAATTTTGAAATTTGTATCGCTTTTAGTACAACAAAACTTTATGTAGACTTCCTATAAAAATAGTCCACTTAGTACAAATTTCAGAATTTAATATGATTTTTTGGGGTGGGAGGGAATTATATAGTTTTGAAACCCTATCTTATCTTATAATGAGTCTTTGTTAATCTAACGGATACAAGTGATATATTTAGGGGGTGTTTGGTTGATGGGTATTTGGAATGAGGAAATGAATTGACTCTTAATATTTGTTTTTGGTTGGTGGGTCTCAAATTGGCGTGAATGGACTCATTCCCCATTATTTAGGAATCTTTTTAATCCACCAGAATGGTGGGTTTTGATCAGATTCCCAGTTTTGTAACTTTTTCTTTTTCAACTCTTTGTTTTTTCATGATAATTTTATGTTGTATATAAATTTATTATAATTTATAAAAATAATTTTCCTTAATTTTTATTTGATATTTTTTAGTCATATTTAAATTACCACCATCATTGACTGAAAATTTAAATTTATTTACTTATGATTCGTAATGAGATTGAACTGCAGAATTTATTTCTTGCATTAGATTTTATATTAAAATAACAGCTATTCGCGATACATGATCTTCTGTGATACTTTCGTGTGTCATTCACTGTGACACAATTCAATTATTTCTTATAAATTATATAATTTGTGGTAATACATATACCATAATCACATATTTTTAATGTAGATAATTTTTCATATGCTTATTTTATTTTTTATATCAATGTTTTATTTTTAAGAAAATTTGACTATTTTTATTGATTTTTTAAACTATAAAAATTAAAATAAATAAGTCTTAACCCAAAAATAATATAATTTATAAGAAGTAATTGGATTCTGTCACAGTGAGTAATACAAAAAAGTGTCACAGAGGATCCTATACCGCTATTTGCACTCAATCAAACCAATTATTTTTTAAAAAATATAAAATAAATTATTCAAATTGACTAATTAATATAAATAGTTATTAATTTTTTAAAAATTTGATATTAAATTTTTTACCATTAAATAATTAAATAAAATTAATCTAAAAAATGAAATGATATCTAAACCTTCATAACCAAACAACTATTTTGGAATTGGTGTACCCATAATAAACCCTTATTGTTAAATTTATCATACCTGATTCTATAGTAAAACCCATCTATATACCAAATGGATTAATCTAACGGTCAATATCGTTTGACTCAATCATTCAGTCAATGTAACTGTAATCGCTCCCATGTAAGAAAATTCTATGAAAGGTGTTCCCGTTCTAATTCAAATATCGAGTAGAAGAAATATTCCGTTCTCTAACACAGTAGCTTTCATGTCCACTAAAATTAAAATTAATTTAGGTAGAGAACTTTGAGTTACACCAAAAAAATATAATAATAAAAAGTCAAATTTGTCACCTGAACCCCCTATGGTAGCTGGCATGAGTCCTTGAATAATTGAATTTGTTTGTTTGTTTGTTTGTTTGTTTTATTTTGGATTTGTAGAATTTTTTGTTGTATTCTAAGACAGAAATATATAAAACAATAGCAGATTATAAATTATTACTCCTTCCGATCCTTATTATAAGGTATTTTGATTTGTCCTAAATTTAATTTAGGATGTCTTTTGAATTGAAATAAAAATTTTAAAAATATTTCATAATAATTAAGAAAATACAACAAATGTAAAAATATATATTTAAAATTTTTTTTCCAATTAAAAGGATATCCTAGGTGAAAACTTAGGACAACCGGAGGGAGTATATAGTAGTATCAAGTATGTGTCGGACTCATACGAAAGGAATCATTTGGCATTACTTTAGATGGCATCATTTGATGTAGATGTGAATGTGATCTTAATATTTTAACCACTATGTTAAGCGAGGGAACATTATTTCCTCGTTAATTTTGAACTTTGACCATGCATACTAATTAACATTGCTCATGGAGCGTTGTCAATGGACCTCAAAGTGACAGTTTAATACTTTTGTTAAAGATCATAAGTGTACATAAGAAACTGATACCATAGGATCTATGAAATGTTATTCGAGAGCATCATCGAGCAAGAAATGTCCAAAAGAATCAACAATTTGTTAATAAAAAAAAGAAAAAGAAAACACATTATACCAGGATAGGATACCGAAGGCACATAAAGAACTTCCTAACACTAATTTGGAGGACAATAAGATACAATTCATGATGAACCTTTACGTTTGAAAACCAAACGAACACACGATATGATCAACAAATCGTATGATTCGTAAATACCATGGTACCACCCCATTACAAAAGAGAAACAAAGTGAAAAAAATAAAAATTGTTCCTTCTATCTCAGAAAATAATACTCCCTCTGGTCCTTAATATAAGACATTTTGTTTTGTCTTAGGTTTAACCTAGTATGTATTTTTAATTGACAAAAAAAATCTTAAAAACATTTCATAACAATCAAGAGAATATAAGGAATGTGAGAATATATTTTTAAGATTTTTTCGTCAATTTAAAAACCGTACTAGGTGATAGCTAGGAAAAAATCAAAATGTTTTTATATTAAGGACCGAAGGGAGTACTGTACATCAAAAGAATTCATTTTTTAGACCAGAATGTGCGTACACAAAATAAACAATAAGTTTTGGCTTTTTATTTTCCAATTGTCAATACACACTCTTATATAACATAATCCTGAAGAGTTAGTTATCTTCCTTTGAATTAGATTGTCTTTCCTTTCTTCAATCTTCCACCTCTTGAGCTTTGCACGATGAGTTTTATATAAGCTTAATTCATTTGTCTTTCCGGTACCATTCTTTTTGTTTTCTTTAATTATTATCTATTATCTACTCATTTCTTTAAATTTGGTTGGTGATAGGATCAACTCGCGTGCAACGCGTGTTTCTGTGTTCTTTTTTAAAGGAATCTAAAGCAAATTTTCTTTTGTTTTATTTTGAGGTTTAGAAGATAGAATATTGGTAAACTTTGATACTTCAATAACAATCCTCAACTAATGGAGAGTGGAAAAATTGACTGCACGGTGAAAATTTTCAGAGTATCCACTGACCACTTGTGATACATTACTATTTACAAACATGTTTTGAACTCAATTAAGAGTTAACACATTTACATTGGTGAAAACAACCACGGCTTGCGATTTCACGCATACAAAAGATTGTGTCTGTCTCTTCATACACAAGCCACGAATGATCTACTTTCTTTAGGCTCTGTTTGATAATCACTTAATATAGTGACTTAATTTATTTAAGTATTTAATGAAATTAAATGTGTTTGATAATCATTACTAAAAAGTCTTAATGAATTAAGTTCTGAATTAATTAAGTAATTATGAATTAAGTACGTTTGCTAACTAAAATTTCACTATCTGAATTAATTAAGTGCGTCTGAATATCCATTTCAATTGTAAGCCAGAAAATAAGTGATAGGCCTACCATTTATCACTTATCACTTAATTTCTGTAATGACTCTTTTTTTCTTTTTTCTTTTTTTCTTTTTTTCCTTCGTCCTTATTTCGACGCTTATTTTTACATTAATTTAAAATTTTTATTTTCTTAAGATGCATTAATTAAGAGTGCTTAAAGTTGAATTTATATTATGAGTATAAAAGATCTCAAACTTTCAAACTCAAATTAAACTAATTTTAATACATGAAATTTGCTAAATAACAAAGTATACATATATATGTAATAATCTAAATTTAATCATATATTGATTATTTACCAAGTGTAATATCTACTTTCATTATATATACCAAAAAATTATTTTAAAATTATGATTATATTATTTAGAACAAAATATTATTTATTTTTCTATTTAAAAGAATTTTATTTATAATTCAATTTTAATGATATTAAAATTTTAAATAACTTTCAAATATGAGTATTCAGATTCAGTCTCTTCAGACTTCAGACTTCAATCTTCAGACATCAAATTCAGACGTTTTTATCAAATAATATAAATTCAGTTTTCAGACTTCAGACTTTGGTGTTAAGTGTTAAGTGTTCAGATTCAGACTTCAGTGATTATCAAACGAAGCCTTAATCTCAAAACACTGAAAATTATCTCAATTTACATAGTTTACTGCCTTGTAATTAAGGGGACACTATTCTTACTAAGGGTGAATAAGGCCATTTACTCGTTTATTTTTATTCCTTCCATCCGAAATTATTGTTCAGTTTAATATTTAATCACTTTAAATTTTACAATCGTTTGGGAACATGAATTAAAAAAAAATAAAAGAAGAAAATGGTAGAAACTAGTATTAGAGTAAGTACTAGTAAGTTAGGATTTTGTGTAATTAGATGACTGCTTCAAACATAATCTGAGGAGAGAGATTCGGCCAAAATCGCAACTACCAAACTCACCAAGTCAACATGAATCTTCTCTAAAACTAACCATAGTCCCTCCTAATTAACTCTCTCTTCCTTCTGATCACCTTCTCATTTCCCCCAACTCCTCTGATCACAACATTGAAGATTGTTCTCAATTTTAACCAGAAAAAAAAAATAATAATTCCAAGAAACTTGGAGGTCATGATGACCAGTGTGGAGGATCCCAGAAACACTAGTACGAAGCAAGAAAATAATGGCAATAAAAACAAGACAGCCATGAAGATAGTCAAAGCTACAGGTGGTGGTGGTGGTGGTGGAATTGGGGTTGGTCTTGTTTTCTTTGGTGGTGCTGTGGCCACTGCTGCTTTCTTCTTCATCAAGAAGCAGATGAAGAGGGATCCAAAAACCAGTAATAATGGCAGGGATTGTGACAATAAAGGCCATCTTCATCATCAGTCTACACCTTCTTTGGAGATACCCTACAAGTTGATTGAGGACAAGTATATGAATGAAGACAACAAAGGCCTTCGATTCGTCGCCGCGAATTCTTCTCCGGATTCTGATGCTGATCAAGACTTGGTGATCAGGTTTGGTTTCTGCATATTTGACTCGAGTTTGTGTACTTAATTTCATTGATTAATCCATTAATATGGTGTGATTCAGAAATGGAGAGCATGATCAAAATGGTACTAACATGATCTCAGAAGAAGTAACTATTTGCCTGGTAAGATTTCTTTTTCTATTTCCTTTTCTCATACTGTCATTAGTGTTATTCTTAAAAACCCAAAAATTTAAGGCATTTAGTTCTGGATGATGGTGAAATAATTGTCAAATTTTAGGCTTGAGTTCTCATTGTGGTAACTTTAACTTGGGTTCAGGATGAAAAAGAAAAGCTCAAAGTTAATGGCAAAAAGGAGGAGAACCCTGTAGCTGATGTTAAAGATGTCGAACCTTCCATTTCTCCTGAAGAATTGGACAGCAGTAGGCAATCTGATTCATCAAACTTGATGCAGAAGGAGTTCCAAAACCCAATATTAGTTGAGGAAAAGATGCTTCCACAGCCTAACATTCTGGAGAATGAACTCGCGACGCCAGAAATTGAAGAAGAGAATGCCGATGGCTCGCCACTCCTAGATGATCAAGGCGTGGAAGAGGAATGCCAACATGTTTCAATGAACAATGAAAGTGAAGAAATGGATTCCAACATCCGGGAAGATGAAGGTAAACGAGGACTAGAGAACCAGGAGATCCATGACGAAGCAGAAGCAAGTCCATCAGATCAGAAAAAGCTTCAGGTCATGCAATCTAGTGAAGAACTAGAGAGTCCAACAAATGGTGATGAGACAAGTACAAGCACTGGAGATTTGGTACTAAGTACATGTGAGTTATCAGGAAAAGTTTCTTTGCAACCACTCTCTGGCAATCCCTCCCTTTCCAATGATGGTAACATCGGTAATGAAGAAAGTGCTCAGAAGATCAAAGTTGTAGTCTTCGAAAAGGATGAAGAGCCTGAGGCAGCTGATCAAGAACAGGACAAAGGAGATATCTCGGCTACGATAATTGAGGTTGAGGATGAACTGCACCCTGAACATGTCAAGAAACAGGATGCTTCTTTTAATGAGCACGGAAATGGCAATCCAAGTTTGATGGTTGCAGAAATTGAAACAGATTGCAATCCAAATGATTCAGAGCTTGACGGGACTAATGAAGAACAGTACAAAAGTGATGCCTTCAGTGGGATAATGGAAGTTGAGGATGCACTGTGCCCTAAACATGTCGAAAAACAGAATGATTCTTTTGAGGATCAGGAAAATGGTTATCCAAGTCTGATAGTTCCAGAAATCGAAGAGGATTGCAATCAAGATGATTCTTCACTGACCATCAGAACTGAAGCAGCGCTTGAGGTCACAAATGAATTTCAAGGTGAAGGCAATGATACCGTGATTCAGATGCCTCAAGAAAGGGAAAATTCGTCGAAATGCCAGGTTGGTGTGCTGCTGATCAGTGAAGCTCTGGAAGTTGCTGAAGAAGTCCAAGTGCACAAGGAACTGAAAGGAGGAGATCAACATGATGCAGAGGTGACTGGTGGACCAAGCCAAGATACTAGGGAGACCGATCAATTGCCAGAAGATCATACTCCAGCTACCAATCCTCAAGAGCTGCAAATGGATACGGTGGAAACTTCTCTGGCCGGTCATAAAGAAGACAACTCTGGTATTGATGAGCCAACATCTGAAGTTAGTCCATGTGAGGAGAGCAGGGAAGAGGTACCAAATCTATTTTCGACATCATCTAACACTCCAAACTTGAAGCCCGAAATTCATGTTGACAACGGCTTTGAAGAAACGCATCAATCTGCTGAGGCCAATGAAATGAAAGAAGGAATTGCAGAAAGTGAATCAAGTTTTAAGGACAAGATTGCGGAATGTGATGGCTTGCCAGTGCAACAGGATGATGAATACAGGAATTCTTCAGAGGAAGCTGAAAGTACAGTGCAGTTGAGGAATGAAACCAATGTTGCCACTGAAGAACAAACAGTAGAAGTTACAACAGAGGAAGATGCCAATGAGGAAACAGATGAGTTAAATGTAACCGAAAAAGTGGAGGAGAGCTCAGAAGGGACAGCAGACTCATCTGCAGAATCCAACCCCAAGCCCATCTGGCCTTCAGAGTCGATTCAAGACCTAACAATGGACCTTGAAGAAACAGACGCGAATGATTCAAAGGAGATTCTTCAACCACCCAACGAAGAACAAACTGTTGAAAAACAGGTACAACACCTCAAGAACCTTGATCACAATGGCGTAAAGGAGAACAAACTCCAAAGGGGGAGTGACGAAAATGGCAGCCTACAATTGAGTTTGTTGGAGAAGTACAGGATGCAGCTTGTGGAGATGACTCCTCAAACTACAAAGTCACAGAAAAGGATAATTCTGGCGTTCGCAACCATGGCGTTTTCAGGGTTGTGCACATGGCATTTTGGCCTGCCATTCTTAAAGATCTGTCTCATGATCATCATGATCGCGGTAATCGCCAAAATGGATGAGATTTGAAACTCAGATAGGTTGTAACTCCTGGATTTCTTTACTTCTAGCTTCCACAGCTTCTGCAAATTAAGCATATATACCAAGACACAATTTACGTACATGTCTTGATGAGTACAATAAACTATGCATCCAATTTTGACTATCATTTTAATAGTTCATTTTGTGAAGTTATTTTAGTTCAACGACAAAGTAGGTTATTAAAATGAGATCGAATAAGTACTTTATTTTTTTATTTTTGCTGATCATACTATTTCTTGTTTTCTACGATAGATTCTTCTATTTTGATTGCTACAAGAGTTATACTTCGAAGATATTCATTATATGGAAAAGTAAAGATACAATTACACTTACGAAACTACACAGAAATACAGAATAAATGTACTCCTGAAGTAATAAACTGTTCCTCGAGGCTGTAGGGATTCTCAGTTATAAAAAGGCCTTAGCTTTTAGGACAAAAAACAAATTTTTCTCCAACTCGAATACTGGGACATGCTTACCAGAATCCGTCCATTAGGAAGGAATTTTACCGGTAAAATTCAATTACTTTGCAAGTCCAGATTCACGAATAATCTCTTCCACGAAGCTTTGTCTAATTTCAGCTCTGAAAGCTATGGCAACCTAGCCCACGAGGATTCCGGCGGTTTTACCACCGGAAATGAGCAAGACTTGAAGAACCCAGATAGGGATCCGAAGTTAGATGACGATGCAATCAAGATTCAAGCTATTCTGAAGCTTAAATCCGAGAAATCGATAGAAGAAATCGGTCAATCCGTTAGTGAAATTTCTGTCTGTTTCTCTGAAGACTTGGTCCTTAACGTGCTGAAGCGCCACCGTTCTGATTGGAAAGCGTCGTACAAATTTTTCAGATGGGTTTGTCTCACCAAATTCCCTGATGGGTATAGACCTGGAACTGGAGTTTACAATGTAATGCTTGATATTCTTGGCAGGATGCATCAATTTGACAAGGTCCATCACATGGTCGACGAAATGTCCAAGAGAAAAATCTTGATTAATGAGAGGACCTATGGCATCGTAGTTAATAGGTATGCCGCAGCACATAAGGTTGAAGATGCTATTCAGTTGTTTTATAAGAGAAAAGAATTCGGTTTAGAGCTGGATTTGATCGCATTCCAAACTCTGCTGTTGTCCTTGTGTCGGTACAAACACGTAGAAGCTGCTGAGTTTTTGTTCCATAACAAGAACAATGAATTCCAGAATCACATAAAGACTTGGAACATCATTTTAAATGGATGGTGTGTTTTGGGAAATTTGCGCGAGGCAAAGCGGTTTTGGAATGACATTGTGACGAAGTCTAAGTGTAAACCGGATAAATTTACATATGGGATTTTCATCAACTCATTGAGTAAGGCAGGGAAGATAAGCACTGCTGTGAAATTGTTTCAAGCAATGTGGAACAAGGGCTGCGAGCCAGACGTTGCTATCTGCAATACAATCATCGATGGGTTGTGCTTCAAGAAGAGGATCCCCGAGGCTATTGAAATCATCCGCGAGATGAATGAAAGAGATTGTCAACCAGATGTTGCAACTTACAACTCGCTCATTAAACATTTGTGTAAGATTAAGAGGATGGAAAAGGTTTATGAACTCCTGGATGAAATGGAGAAGAAGGGAGGGGAGATTATGCCGAATGCTAGAACCTACGGGTATTTGTTGAATTCTGCTGGGAATCCAGAGGAAGTTTATGAGATTTTGGACAGGATGGAACGGAAGAAGTGCAAGTTGGATGGAGATGGATACAATATGTTACTGAGATTGTTTATGGAATGGGGTGTTGATGAGAGAGTGCAGGCTGTTTGGAAAGAAATGGAGAAGGCTGGAGTAGGACCAGATAAAAGATCTTATACTGTAATGATTCATGGTCTTTTTGACAAAGGAAGGTTGAAAGACGCCATGAGTTATGTTCAAGAGATGAAATCGAAAGGTATATTCCCTGAGCCAAGGACCAAATTGTTGGTTGACGCCATGAAAATTAAGTTGAAGGCCAAAGATTTATCATAGAAAGACAAGGCAGTAAATCATTTTTTATTTTATTTTATTTTTCCGATTCTTGTTGCTCCATTGGTTATAGAAGATTTTTTTAACATCTTTTCTTCTTCTGGGAAAGAAGAAATCTAATTTTGAATGAAGCTTTTATACGCGGGTAAAGGTCATCTTGTTTTTTCCATGTCGTACTCAATACACCATTAAGCCGAATTTGCATTTTCCAGTTCACAGCGTCTCAGAATAGGCTAAAGTAAGGCAAAAGTTACACTGATTGCAGAATTAAAAGGCAAGGTCATGGGAATGTAACCGTTTTCATTTATCCTGCTAAAGTTGCAAATGTTTGTGCAAATTTCTTTACAAGTATAAACTAACTACTTCACTCTTCTCTCTCTATATACAGTCCCACCTAGCTGGCACTAAAATGTCTTCACTTTGGCATCTAATATTGTCTAGTATACAACGAGTTCAGTATGGCAAAAAAAAAAATGTAAGGTCATTTTGGGACAAAAATGATGAAAGGAATTCACTTTCACAAGTCAAAAATTGGGGGTTGCGCTTCAGCCGGTTGTCGACCAACTCTTTTGTAATCAGACTAGCCACTAACACTCCAGAAATTGTTGGTGTTCAATGGGACTAAGCCAACTACAACCCGTGGACCACCCCAAAACACCTAGTACAACATCTATCTTCGAGCATCCACAGATCTGGCAAATCAAACAAAGCCTCAATACGCCATAAACACGAGTAAATACTATAAGAGATGACTGATGTTTTCAGGGTGTTTGTGAAGCTCACCAAATTATCAAGGTCTGCTTCAATGTGAAATAACATGATAGCCATCCCCTTCCTTCGGTCAACCTCCGCCTGCCGGAATTTAAAATTTAGTCTAGTTGACAGGGCATGCTGAATTGCACGACGAATCAAGAAGCTGAGGATAAAAAAATTAAATAAAAAATAAAAAAAATTTGACAGTTAGCTCACCACACAAGAACAGATTGCGATGCCTGCAGCCGCCAATGCTGAACTGACATCTGCCATCATGCCTGATAGTACAAAATAGTTATTGTTAATCTCATGTGTCTGCCAATTTAGAATGAAACAACAGAGTTGCAAGAATAAACTATAAACCCAAAAAAAAAAAAGAAAGAAAAATCCTATCACTACGTGCCTTCTGAAGAGCAGAACAATACCTACATTCTTTCGGCTGCTCTAAGACAACCAAATAGCTCTTAATCAAAGGTACCGTATTCCTCTCAAAAGACTTGAAGGGAAAAACAACCAGCCAAGATATAACAAAACCAGAACTTACCTTTTCGATCTATACAAACGACCCCTAACCACTGGATGGCATGTCCTTCAAGGTTGTGCCAGCAGGCAATCTTTGCCGCTTGCCAGCTCTCTAAACCAGGCAATACTTCTCTATACGTTGGAATGTTAGCCTGTATCATCTTGGCAATTCCATTCCCTTGTGATAAAGACTCTCCTGCAGCCATCAAACTCACATGCTGCATTTGCTTGTTATGTTTCCCATTCACCTTGGGGGTCAGTGAACTACTACTAACTGCTGGAAGCTGAAATGCACTACAGTTCAGCATTGCCGGTGATGCTGACACAACATTTTTGAGGATTCGATCCCATGGCTGGTTGGTTCCTTTAGAAGAATCCAAGACTTCTATTTCATCTTCAGATTTATCAATGAATTCTTTCACCGAGTCAGCAGTAATTTCATCAGCTGAAAGTGTAGCTTGTTCTCTGAGAAACTGAAGCACAACTGTAATGGTTAAGACAATGTGACAGAGAAACAATGGGAAATGTTTCATTAAAACTTAAATCAAAGCTTACCTTCATTATTTTGTGCCGTGCACTACGGGTTTTTGCATGTTGCAACCACTGTTTATGTCTCTGGAAAGCAGATTTGCTCGATAGGCCCTGATAGAAATCAATTCAGCTATTACTCTGTTGCATCAATAGCTTATAGACACAATAAAAATAGGACTTTACGGACTTCTTTAGAAGAACAAGGAAAGAAATTTCTGATCTTATACTCCTCAAACAAAGACTATTCATTCTGAAACAATAGCTAAACCTAACTGAACGTAGACCAGAAAGTTGCAACTGCTATGTTTTCTTCTGCATAGTGCAATGTTGAAGGATCATTTCATTTAGGTAAAACAATTTAGGAAACATGGACTAACATTGTAGGTTATTATCTCGACAACTTCAGCATTTGCCAGTCTGTGTAATGGTGAGACAAGGTTCCCATTGACCTGCAATGGAAATGATAAAAAAAAAAATCATACCCCGAGAAATGAGGAAAACCAAATACCATAAAGAAGATAATCAAACCTTTGCTGCCACCATTCTGTTTCCAATTTCAGTATGAATCATGTAAGCATAATCAATGATAGTAGCCCCCTTTGGAAGATTTTTAATCTACAAACACAAAAGAGTAAGTGTGAGAGACTACGAATCAGCCTATCAGGTAATTAAGCGAATTCCACATTTTACCTCTCCCCTTGGTGTAAATACAAAAACTCGACTGCCCAACAGGTCTTTTGTTACGGTGTCCACAAATTCTCTTGAACTCATATTCCCAACAAATTCTTCTTGCCATTCTCTAATTGCATTCAGCCAGCCAATCTGAAAGAGAGGGACAACTTCTAACACAGGATTAGAATCAAAATTAGACACAGAAGCATTCAACACTGGCATTGGTAATAAAACAGGAGACAATATTTACCCTGAGAGCAACATTAGCATTATTAAGGCAAATTGTTTTTCCTCTTGAACTACCGGTGGAAATCACATGTCCAACTAAACCATTAACAAGAACTTTGCCACTGTAGTGAGCGGCAATGCCTCTCTCAGCTATCAAATCCATCTCTTCAATGCGAATCTGCAATTCAAAACCAAGCTTAAGGGAATTAAATGAAGCAACTAAATGCCACCTTTTTAACCGAAAAATTTAGAGCTTCATACAAATTTAGAAGAATGAAAAAGAAAAGTGAAGCAACCGAACTATCAATAGAGCATAAGCAAAACATGGAAGAACTTGTAACTAACCTGGACTTCAAGTCTAAACATGCTCTCATAAAGAAATGGAATTACGGTCGTATGAAGACTCTGGTAGCCATTAGGCTTCGGGGTGGCTATGTAATCCTTCATCTGGTTTTTTTTTAATGAAAAAAAAAAAGAAACATTAACAGCAGCCAACAAAAACTTTGTCAGTTAAAATTTAACAGAACTAAGGAAAATAATCTTACAGCTCGAGGAATAGGGGTCCAGATCCCATGCACCAGTCCTAGCACGTGGTAGCAAATCTAAATATAGCAGAATGACAACAAAGAACTCATTAATACAAGCAAGAAAATATGCACAAGCGCTAAGGTATCAAAATTAATTATACGCATGGCGCACCTGTTGTGAATTGCACAAAGGCCCCACTCCACCACATGGTTTTGGTTTAACAATGATCCGTAGCTGGTAACCAGAAAAGAAAAGAAAAAAAAATTAAAAATACAGAGGATAGCTAAGTAATATTTTATGTATGGAAATACTTGCAATCAGGGGCTAGCAAGCAAATTACAACATCAACCTGAGCAATTTGGTTGACTTCATTTATCGATCCATTAGATTTCAGTATGGCTTTGTAGATGCTGCAAATAAAAGAAAATAATCCGTCAGAAAGAGAGTACATTTGGATGCAAAGAAAAGTAACACTTTGACATGAGATTTGTGCTAAAAGACACCAGCAACAATTTCCATGAACACACAAGAAGTTTTCTTGGAATATTTAACCAACTCCGCAATCAAATAACAGATTTACTCATGGAAGAGATTGGACATCTCATTACAACTATGCTTAACAAAGTTGAAGAATTCTCAATCCTTCTTCCAATTTGTTGAAATAGAATAATTTACACCTGTAATGGAGACCATTAGGTCCATGACTCATTAAAGAAACTTTGTGACTCTGCCTCTAAGTGAAAATAGAAAAACTAGGTCATCTCCGCAAGGGTCCACAAGGAGGATCATTTTCAAAAGGTTCCTAATAAACTGCTATCCCAACATGTTAACTATGACAAGGAGAAGAGAAGAACAAAACACAAAAGAAAAACAACCACAAACTGATTTGTCGTCTCTTCTTTTCCTCAAATTCCATAAAAATGCAAATATTGGATATGTAAGGAAAGATAATAGCACATTATTTGAAGTCTCTCTCTCAAAGAATATGGATATTTTCTAGTAAATGGATTTTTACCATAGGTAGAATCATCCTTTCTAAAGAATTAGACCTCCCAAGTCCCAACAATATGCAATAAAAAGACAAGAGTCCATGTATCACACGAATATTACCTCAATAATACCATATTGTAAAAAGAAATGTGTGTGTGTGTGTCTATATATTATATATATATATAGAGAGAGAGAGAGAGAGAGATAAATAGATATAGATAGGATAGATAAACTGAAGAAACCAAGAATCAGTAATGCAAATAAAAATGTGAATTTATCCTTATTACCACATTGCAACCCCACTAGAAGCATATTAACCATGGAAAACCAAGAGGTCCAGTAGACAGCTCAAACCAGAAAATGAACCATCGTGAAAGGACAATTCATTAAAGCGAAAAATGTTCACCTGTAAGGTTCCTTGCATACTGATCTGACTTCAGTCTTCACAGTCACAAGACCTAAGAACTGATCATTCTCAATCTTCTTGATTAGCATTTTCTTTGCCTTTCCCAACATGAAAAAAAGAACAAAAGAGAGTATCAGAATACTATGTTGATACTGGCAGGGAAATGAAGATAAGTACAGTTTTCAATTCTAGAAGTTATACTTGCAGCATTGTTGTAGACAGAGGTCAAGTGCTTTTAGAAATTTTAAAACTAGAAACCAGAAAGTCATTCAGGGTCTAAACTGCAGGAGGAAAAAGAGGGCATATACCTCCATCAATTCCTTCTCATGTTCTTTGTAGAGTTCTGAAACTCTTCTTTTGACCTTAGCATAATCTTGGGCGTTCGTATACATAAATGATAGATTTTCCAATTCTGACTGCAGAAAGTCATTATATAGACAGAGGTCACAGATGCATTAAAAATAGCATGATGCAGAAAATATGTGAATAAGAGATGCAAACACCCAACTTAGTAATAAGGATCTTTGATAAGTCAGAGTAGAGGAATTCATTGATAGAATTATACAGGAACTGAACATTGAAATTCACAAATGGCCAATCAAAAGAAAAAGCTGCCACAGTATACAAATGTATGACAAATAGAACAATAACAACACTTGAAAAGAGTTATATGACATTACAGGAGAAAGAAGGTTTATGACATCACAGTTTTAAGTAGAAAAACCAACAAAAAGAAGGTTGCAGCAAAACTAAACAGATTAAAAAGTGAAAATTTTACATGATGGATAACATTCTTCGAATAAAAGATACAAACTGCAAACTGTAAAGACTGAAATATTACGACAAAAACCAACCATAATCTTAGTGAGAGAGAGAGAGAGAGAGAGAGAGAGAGAGAAATAAAAGTACACCTTGATTTGGTACATTCCTAATAGTTTCGCTAGAGGCGCAAATACTTGAAGCGTTTCCATTGCAATACTTGCCTGGCCAAAAATGGACGATGCAAAGGACTATCAGACTCTTGGATGGTATGCAAATAAGAAACTAAAGACAAACAACAAACAACCAACCTGCTTGTGTGGAGGCATGTGAGAAAGTGTACGCATGTTATGCAATCGATCAGCCAACTTTACAATAATAACACGGACCTAAAAGAAGAATTTTTCCAAGCATTAGTGGCTATTACAACTAAGAACTATTGCAAATACAAATTACAGAGTAACATTACTGGAACAAACCTCCTCAGTCATGGCCAAGAACATTTGTCTAAGGTCATCTGCCTTGACATCTTGTACAGAAAGCTTGTCATCCTTACACTTGAGCTTTCCAAGTTTAGAAACCTAAATCCTCAGATATTAACATTTAATAGAACAAATATCATTATTCTAAAGTCTGAGAGAGGGAGAGAGGGAAGAGAGACCTTAGTTTCTCCTTCTACGATATGGCGAACAATAGGTCCAAATTCCTCCTCTATTCTTTCAAAGGTTACTAAATGTGTATCTTCTACAGTGTCATGCAATAAGCCAGCAGCAATAGACTCCCAATCCAATTCCTAAAACCCAATGTAAATAAAATTTATGAGAAGGAGAAGAGTAAGATCCTTACACAATCACATATCCCACAAAATTAATTTACTTCAACATTTTTAGCAACTTACAAGCTCCCCCAGAATTTGTGCAACTGCTACTGGATGGATGATAAAAGGCTCTCCGCTACGCCTTTTTTGACCATCATGCGCTTCAAATGCTAGCTGCAAATTCATCATGTCAGTGATGGTAGCAGGAGGATGAAACAACAAAAAATAGCCAGACTAGAAGAGACGTGATTTGCCTAATTCCAAAGATGTCATAATCCATGCACAAACACCAAGTTTCAATACTCAACAACTAAAATTCTAATTCCCTCCCGGTCATGATTAATTAAATCAATCGGAGAAGTGAAATTTCCAACAAAGAACAGTAAAATAGCAGTCGATAGAAGTTTTAAAGCATAGGATTAAGGAAAAGAGTACGAAAACTTACATCTAACGCCGCACGGACCAATCCCAATTCCCTTTGAGAAAGATATGAAATACTGGGTTTAAGATCCTGGTAGGTACAGAGGTAACTGAAATTAGTTGATCTTTATGATGGAGAAATCTGAGAAAGTTCAATTGGCTCTCAGGCACTATTAACTGGAGAGCTTTTTGCGTTATCAAGGGACGTGAATGAATGGCACATGAGATGTGAAATAATGCAACTGAAAAATTAAATCATTGCATCTTACACTGAAAGACACTAGGACAAAGGAAGGTTTAGGTGGGACGCATCATATACAAATCACTTGAAAGAGGTTCATAAGATTCCGGCAAAAAGAGAATTCCGAATAGACTCTGGCATTAAAAATGTTATGCAGACCAAATGAGAGGATTTTCGAGATTAGAGAAAAAAATCATTTTCTTGCTGAAGTATGCACTAGGAAATGAAATGTCAAACGCAGACAACTCTCCCACTTTCTTATCTGGAAACACCGCACCTAATTATTCAAAAATCATCCAATAAATTACACATATCTGGTGTAAATCAAACGACAGATTACCTTTTATCTGAGAAAATGGGAGTAAAATGAACCAACACAATCGTCATTGTATTGTATTCAAAGCATTAAATCGAAATAGAGCAAGTTTCACATTTTTGAAATTTATATAAAATTACAAATATATATATATATATATATATATTAATCATAAGGTACATACATGCAATAGTTCGGACGGTTGAATTTATCAAGAAACAAAAAACTATAAGTTGGATCAGCTTTCACAAGGAAGACACAATATGACTACGCACCTCCCACAAACTATCTGGAGTGACCTCAGAAGAGTCTGAAAACATGAATGGTGAACAACATAATTTCCATTTATTACAATGACGATCAACCAAATGCGAGAACAAGAACTTCTTTGCAACCATAAACTTCGGGTTTTCGTCATCATTCGATCCTCCATAATCATGGGCTTCGCATCCCTAATGCAAGTAACAGATCCAAACTTCAGAGTAAGCATATAGTGTTGACTTAGTAGCTTCAGAAGAAAAAACAACTTGAATTAAACTGCGGTCCATTACAAATATCGTCATGAGCATATGCATGACCAAAAAAATTTTATTGATGGGAGTTATCAATCATAACCATGTTATCATTGTGGAGAATTGATAAAAATTATAAAATAAAAAAAAAAAGGACAAACAGATGGTTGAAGGAAGCTTTAGCGGCTATATTTGAGCATAACACACATGAAACAATAGCTATCTTAAGCATTAAAGGAAGCACAAAAATTATCATTTTTTCTTCGCCTTTAGAGCCTCATTCAAAACTGTTATTGATAGGAATTCGGAAGACCAGTTTAAACCAAGAGTACTTACACATGCCAACAGATTCTTCCTCGTATTCCGGCAAAACCTATGAGTAGGGAGCGGCGGATGAGGTGTACTAAGTGGCGTACTTGCAAGGAAGCCAGTTAACGTCCGTGGAGCTTTCCAGGCACACGACAGCACACTGCAGTCATACTTTCCGCCACTCACATCACTCCCTTTCCATAGCTTACATATGTTCACAAATTCTACAGAAACTGAACCAGAAAAAAACTATAATGAATTCAACGTCTGCAAACGATTACTAATGAATAATAAATTCAAAATATGCGCTTGCCCAAAATAAAACAAAAGTAGGCATAGCTACTAAATCAAAAAGCCTTTCCAAAGCTCACATACGCTCGCACATTCTAAAGAAAATGCGCCACACAGAATTCAAATAATCCAAGTCATAATTCGATAAATAACTGAATTCAAAAACACTAAATTCTAAACATTCCAATCATTAAAAAACCAAAAAGAAAAAAAAAATCAATAAATAAACACGCACGCCCATAGTATTACAGAATTGCTACTAATTGAACGGCAAATGAGAAAGAAGCTGAAACAAACCTGACATTGAAGAAGCGGCAGCCATATCTATCCGGAAGCATCGGTACCGAAATCAAGCATCACTTAAACAGTGTATAAACATATTTAGCTAACTCACAGAAGAAAAAAAAAACACGAAAATGGAGGGAAACAGAAGAACAAGAAGCGGAAGAGCGGCGCATGAACTGTACAATCAATTCAATCAAAGAATTGGCACCAAAAACGTTCAAAAAATTGGTGTGATGGAAAAATAATTTAGCAATTCTGGATAAACAGTATGATTATTACAGGCGAGGGGTTAAGGAGGTGGAGGAGGGAGAAGATAATCTAGAGAGAGAAAGAAAGAGGGAAAAAATAAAAGAAAGAGGCGCAGGACAAATACCGAACAAGAGAGCCACAAAATATTGCCGTTTTGATAAAAGATTTTTTTTTCGTTGCAGTATTTTGGGATTTCGTTCAGCATCTGAATCTTAACGCCAGTGATGTTGTGTTCGACCACCATTTGCTGCTGCTGTTTGCTAACTTATCACCATTTACCACTTATACTTATCAAAAGTTCTCCTGATAAGAATATTTTAAAAAATGTTAATTCCCTGTAATAAAAAATTTTAATATTCCCATCGTCCCGAAATCGTTATTAATTTGAATTTTTAATTTTAGTACAAATTAAACTATAATGAAAATTCAAATTAAACGGGAATATAGGGAAAAATAAATTTTGGAATTCTTCCTCGAATCCACATTTTGATTTGTCATTTCATTTATGATGCTTTCCAAAATGAAAATAAAACCTTAATTCAATTAGGAAAATACAATAACAAAGTTCAGTAGAAACCAAAATGCCTTATAATAAAGATTGAAGGGACTAGGGATTAGAAGAATTGTATTATTATAAAACTAGATTCTTTCATCTGCTTTGCACAGAATATGTTAAAATGTACTATTAAGATGATAATTAGTTGTGAAAAAAAAATAACAGGCATTTGATTATTGGTTAATTATGGAATTTAATTTTAAAAGAAATAGGTGATACAAAAAATAAACTAACAATAAAAACTAAGTTCAGAAAAGATAGGTTGAAAATTAAATTTCCTTAAAAGTAGGTAGAAAAATATTTTACTTGGATTTTTCTTGCAATTTTAGCCGTAAATTTTCAACATTTTTTAATGAAATTGACATTAGATTGATTAAGTTTGAATATGAGAAGAATGTCTTACTTGGATTTTATCGTAATTTTACCCTTGAATTTTTTAACTTTTTTTAAATAAGATTGAGATTAAAATGATTGAATTTAACTGTAAGAAAAATGTTTTTGTTTGGATTTTTTTCATAATTTTACCCATGAGGTTTTTACAACATTTTCTTTTTATCATAAACGGCGTCATTTTTATTTTTTTTTTTTGACTAGTACATAATCAAAAATTCTCTATTTGACAATAGAATGAGCTGGTTTTTAAACGTATTTGTAATAGAAATATGTTTTTATGTATATAGTTAATTTTTTTAAAATCAAAACGATGTAATTTTAACTTAAAGCGTTTTGGAAGAAAAAATTTTAATCATAATGACATTTCAACATTTTTTTTCTCTTAAACTTCTCTTTTAATAGGATATATTGATGATTGCCGAGCAAAAATATTGGTATTGGCAATTCTTATGTCTTTTGTACCAGTTTATTATATAATTTTGTTTTAACCATTTTTATTTTATCTTGAGACGTACTATCATCTAAATCAGTCATATTTTTATATCAATCACTATAAAAAATAATCAAGAATTTTGCTGCAAATTTTCCCCGAGGGGCACGAGTAGTCGAAGTCTACGTACTTGTGAGTTTAGTTTGTTTGATCCAATCATTCTATATGTTAAACATCTATAAATTAATACTGTTACGCTTTCAAAAAATTATTAATTTATCGATAAATTAATAACTATTAACTTATCGAAGGAAATTCCAAAGAATTTTATTAATCTTTTAAGTTTAGTCGTATAATATTTATATTCTTTTATTCCTCTATATCCCCTACACATTAGAATTTAGACTCTACTATCATCTTAAATTTTATCATCTACCCAATCTACGTAACATGCCTCTATTAAAAAAGATTTGACCTTTTTTGAAAAATGTTTAAACTCTCATCAATGACTGGATACATCATACAAAAAGTTCATAACATCTACAATTTCTTTAGATATAAATTTCAAGAAAAAACAAACATCACTAGATTCAAATTTTACAAGGTCATGTTTTTTTATTTCAAGTCATTATTAATTTATGATATTGACGGAACCTATATTTACATAGGTTTTTTTTGAGAAATTATTATCTTATTATTTTATCGATTCTCTTTACTTTTTATACTGGTTCCGACTTGGGACCGAAGAAAATTATGAATTTATCGATGTTATTAATTTATAGATTATTAATTTATCGATGTTCTACTGTACTTAAACAGAACCCCTTAGAAAAGTTCATTATACCCTTTTCCTTCCCATTTTTTTTACCCATTCCAATTGATGTGTCATTTTCTGGTAATTTAGAATTAATTTTATTTTTCTATTTTACCTTTTTAGTTTGGATGATTGATGTGCTAAAATTTTTCCTTTTTCTTAGTTTTTTTAAACCCCTTTTCCTTAGTTTAATACCGCATGCAACATTGTTCTTTGTGTACTGCATCGATTTCCATACTTTGTAATAAATAAATGTGTGTTTAGATAATTTTTTTCACAACATACATGTTCCTTTTTGACTTTTGCCCTTTCTCTTCCAATCCTAACTCCTTTTCGCATTTCTCCCCTCTTTTTTATTATATAACAATAAATTCTAACAAATAATTTGTGTTAGTTAGTAATAGTAAATAACAAATAATGGTTGTATTCGCATATATTCATAAACATTGTTCATAAACTATTTATTTTCGTATTTTTTTTATTTAAAGTTACTTTCATCAATAACGCCAATGATACACATGAAAATTAATGAGGAGCTCGTGATTACACGAGATCTATCTAGTAGATAAATCATACTAACGAGAAAGGTTATAGTGTTTGTTTTCATTTTTATTTTTATTTTTATTTTCATTTTGTGGCTCTTTTTCCTTGTTTTGAGACCACTTTACCTCTTGCGGGCGTGGTTTAGCTCCTAAAATTCACCCCTTCTTGTGTAACTTTATATTTTATGGGTTTTCTCCTTCAGTTCTTTTATTGCATTTCCCTTAGAATGTCCTTTTTAATATTTTTCCCTTCTTCAGTTTCTTTATCTTTCGATTCACTTTCTTATTTTTTTTCTTGGTAAAAAAGATTGCAATCCATTTTTCTTTTCTCTTCTTTTTAGTTGCTTCTTTTGTTAAACTAACATTTTCATTCTTTTTGGTTTTCTCTTTAAAAAGTATTTATAGAATAATAAAAAGTATTTGTAGAATAATGTGGGAACTCGTGATAAGAAAAATTCCTCCTTTCTCTTCCTCTTAAATCGCCAACCAACAGGAACAACCATGCATCGAATTGATGCCCCTCATTATTTGCACCCACAAATACATTGACTTGTTGAGTATGTAATGACTTCTGAACGGATCGTTTGGGCATTTCTTCTGTTCCAAATTTATTGTCTAATTTTTATTTTAAATTTTAATATAATTTAACTTAAAAATAAAATTTTAAACTGAATTATAATTTCTAGACGAAGGAAGCTAGTAAGATTCTAGGTTATTTTCTTCTCGTTAAGGGATAACAACGGGATATGCATTAAATGGACCGGAAAACATTTAGAAGCGATTGGTTAAACAAAAAAAGTGATATATACTGTTCTAGTTGGTTTCAGAAAAATCTTGAACATTGATCTGATATGCAATTTCAAATTTTAAGAAATCAGTAATACAAGTGAAGTATATACTCGGTGTAGTGTTTGGTTATCAATTGAAAATTTGAAATAATTTCTTTTTAATAGTCAATGGAAATTTTAGCCTTTTTAGGTGCTATGTGTGGCTCTTAAAACGTTTATGCATATTAGTATATATACTTTCTAATTAAACTATGCAATCTTTGAAAATATATGTATAAAGTATCAATTTATTTTTCAAAATCCTCCAAAATTTCATACAGAAACAGTCATACCGGGGGACTCACATGTAAATAATGCTGAGTCCAACCCATGTAAAGACTTCAAGGAGGAAAGAAGAAAAAACAAAAAGGAACAGAAAGAGATGTACATTTGATTTAGTAATTAAATATGAGTTTTTCTTTTTTCTTCTCCTTGTAGTTGTTCCACCTATTTTAGGCATTAAAATTGTAGAACGATACAAAACCATGCATGCAAAACATTTGCATGGCTAATTTTTTTAATTACACTCTCATACATTAAATTTGTATTCTAATTATTACTCGTTTTTTTTGGTGTTTGTGTTCCACCTAAAATTATATTAGATAGATGCATGATGATCATTTGATGATGATCTATTTAGAACCGCAGCCAGCAAGACCAATGTTTTCGATTCTGGTGATGGTGGGTTTGGCATTGAAACATGTTGAGGAGAGAGTTTGGCCGGGCTTGAACGGAGCCAGGTTGATGTCGGCCAATTCGACGCCTTGGCATGGGACCGCTTCGCTGCAGTTTAGAGTCACTGCCACCGGCGAGTTGGAGGTTCCCCGGATGTTCCTGAAGTGAACGTCGGAGATCTGCACATTGGATGGCTGCACACGCACACACACGCACACACCAATGCAATTTATTCAGAAGTCAATTTTTACAAGAAAGGAATTTGTTATGACAGTAAAAACGTATCATGAAAATGATCAACATGTCGTGTCACACGTTAAAAAAAACAAAAGGTCATAACCGGGATGAAACTCACGGTGGGGTTTTTCTTAGAAGCGTAATGTTGATCGATGATGATTGGATTGGTGACTTGGTTCATCACGATATCTTCATAAACGATTCCCATAGCTGAAAGCTTTGGTGAATCGTGGTAGGTTTTGATTCTGGCCCCATTGGTTGTGTTGGTCAATGTGCAGTTTACAACCTTGATTCCTTTCACATTCTTTTCGTTAGGGCGTTTGCCCAAGCTTCCAATACTGAACAACAGATAGATGAAACCCAATTCGTTAAAATATTAAACACGACTCTTATAACGAGAAGTAATATTATTCCATCGGGTGGGGTCGATTGGAAAAATCACCTGATACCGTGTCCTGGTCCACAAGTCACGTTAGAGACAAGAACGTTGGTGTTTCCTTCGCCGATTGAGATGCAATCATCCCCGGTCCCGACAAGGATGTTGGTGACGTTAACGTTGGACGAGCTGCTGATGTGGAGGCCGTCAGTGTTGGGGCTATCACCGGGAGCTACAATGTTGAGGTTCGACACGGTGACGTCAGTACTCCATGTCACCTTTGAGTGGAAGCCTTTGCTGTTCAATATCTTGATGTTGTTGATGGAACCGTGTGTTACTTTGGAGAATTGAATAGACTACGTACGCCAAAACAACGATCACAAGAAAATGAATTCGATCAGAATCAATTCCATTATGTCAAAAATGATGGGAAAAATGAAAAAAAAAAAAGAAAAAAAGAAAACAAGGGAACTTACGACGGGGAGGAGATCGTCACCACCGCCATTCTTCGGGGCAAATTGCCAAACCTCGTCACCTTTGCCGTCGAGGGTACCTCCGCCGGTGACGAAGACGCCTGTGATATCTTCAACGGTGATCCAAACACCTTGTGTGTAGAGACTGAGATCGGTGCTGCCGGTGATTGTTCCCTGGATTTCGATCGTCATCGGTCCGTTGCATGGGCCCTGAAATACTACTTCGCCGCACATAAAGTTTCCGGTGGGGAAAAGAAGCGTCCTTGGTGCTGGTCCTGGTGCTTTGCAGGCTGCATTCCATGCCTTTATCATTGCCTGCAAGTTTTGATAGAAAAAGAAATATATATTCTTCATCAATACTCAAAATCCCAATGCATTTTCATGTGAATTAAAACACATTCTCACACCTACTCCCAAAATGATTTTTCAATTTCTGTACTGATATTATTTCGAGACAAAAAGAATATATGCATTGTAATATAAAGAAAACTTGTAAATTTGTTACTATTAATTACATCTCGCTCGATCTTATATAATGGGACCGATATCGTAATTGTAACCATATATTTTACCTGGGTATTATCAAATTTTCCATCTCCCTTAGCGCCTAAGGTGGTAACATCAAAAACTGCCTCATTGCCACCCAAAAGATTACGACGGGCTCCAAGAGGGCTAGAACCTGCCTTCAAAGAGAACAGGCTTAGAGCCAAGATAAGAGATAATGTCTTAATCTCACTTAGAGCCATTGTAATCTTTGTTTAAGACAGTTTTTGGTTTTTTTTTTCTTCTTTTTTTTGGTTTTTTTCTATGGAATTTTTTGTTAGACGTGAGATGCATTTAAAAAGCCATAAGGCTTGTGAATGTAGACCAGTCTTTCCCTGCATTTATGCTTGTTTCGGTAAACCAAACAAGATTTCATGCAAACGACCCGCTCTTAACGTGTGGCTCATCTTTGTTTTTCTGTCTCTACCTTCTATTTTTTTTTGGTCATTCCTACAAATTAATCGCCATTGCTTTAGTAATAGCAAATAATACTGGGACGTCCGATTTGGGTTATCATATCATCTTATCCGTATATCTTTTTTTTTTTTTTTGGGGGTTAATCTTTTCTTAAAATTAAGATATCTATAATTAGCTTCCTCCCTAAAAGTTTGTGGTCAATGTTTTACTATTTAAATTCTTATAATCCGGGTCATGATAGGGGAAAAAAAAAAAAAAAAAGCTCTTTGTGAGTATATGTAAAAAGAAATTAATTGGTTTTGCTGCCATGTCTTAAAAGTCATATCTTATGATCAGCAATTATATATATATATATATATATATGCATGTGTAGGAATGTGCTCGAGTCGATTTTAACTAGTATTATTCGCCCAATTTGAGGGTTGAATTAATTCAAGATGCATAGAGACTTTAACTCACCGAATTATTTTTTATTTATTTATTTTTTATGAAAGGTAAAAATTTTATTGATCATTTCAGAGCAACATCACAAAACTAGTCTCCTGCAACTATTACACATTCAGTCTAGCTAGCAGAATGTGATACCAATGCTTTCTAAATATACTTTTTCATTAGGTTTAAACTTTTTACAGCAACCAGCAATCTTCATTCTAACTTGCTGTTTAATATTTTTTCCACAACCATATGTACATCTAACAAATTTCCTCCATGCACCAGATGATTCCTTAACCACCAGATATTATACACTATAGCAACATCACCAATTCATATTATTCCAAAATTATATTTTATAGCAACAATATTCAAAACAAATTTAAGTTTGAATTTCCCTCCGTCCCAAAATTATTGTCTAGTGTGGAATTTCACTTTTAGTTTATTTTATATTATAAATGAAGATCCAAATTGGATAATAATTTTGGGACGGATGGAGTATTGAAGTAAGAAATGCAGTCATGGCATGATGAGAATATGAGTAGAACTTTTTGAGAGAGTTCATTGATCAATTTTTCATAATGAGAAATCAAAATTTTCTCACGTATTTATGAACAGGCGTGTTTGTTCATGCAACGCTACGATTATACCCAATAAGTAGTAAATTCTAAGCTAAGTACACTAATGCCTGAAAAAATAAAATTCATATATAGTTTGACAAACCAATTAATTTAATTTCAAACTCAATGCATCAATATTCTATTCATTGAATTTGTTTTCGAAATTTCAACTTATCATATTCTCTCTAAACACCTCATCGATAAATTCATCAACGTTCTATTCAATTCCCCCACACAACAAGTAAACGCCTACGTCGATTTGGTATTTTAACGGAAGAATCAAGATGTGCAAAATCCTTCTCCAAAAACTCAGTTAATTTGGCCGTTAATTATCCAAGCATGCGGAGAGCATCGATATAAAAGCAAACAAAATGTCAGTGATACAAACTCGAAATATGTTCAAAGAAAGACAAAACAAAGTTTACCAAATAAAAAAAAAAAAGACAAAACAAAACTCCTAAATTATTACTCTCTCCGGTCTTTAATATCATACATTTTAATTTCGTCCTAAATCTCACCTAGTATGCATTTTTAATTGACTGAAAAATCTTAAAAATATATTTTTACGTTCGTTGTATTCTCTTGCTTGTTATAAAATATTTTTAAAATTTTTTTATCAATTAAAAATATGTATTAAATTAAACTTGAGATAGAGTAAATGCATTATATTAAGGGTTGGAGGGAGTAGTACGATAGATAGTTCGTAGCACTATTACTATTACCTAAAAGATTTTGAAAGATACACGTCTACGAAGGAAAAAGAAAAAGAAAAATAAAAAACAAACTTCTAGAGGATTTTGCCAAATTGCAAAAGGGGAATGGGGTTAGCTAGCCAGTGAAAGGATAAGAGTTCGTGGGCACATTGGAAACCAATACCATGATCCAAAACAACAACAAATGAAATGAATGATCAAAGTTGAAACAACATAGGATACTGACACATAACACACAGTCAATCAAGTCATACCAAATAAATACGATGGTCTGGAATCTGGATGGATGTAGGCATGTAGCCCCCGCTAATTTTTATTTTTGGGTCAATTTTGAAAGTATATCCTTCTTTCTTTCTCACAAACATTTGTAAGTATATCCTTCTATATCCTATCCATTGTGGTATAGTCCGTAATAATTACAGCTTAGGGCCACCTCCACTGAAAATGACTCCATGAAACATGAACCCGGGATCAATCTCTCACTGAATTAATAAATTAAATATTAATGAATCTTTTCATCACAACTTTAGGAGAAAAAAAATTACTCCCTTAAACAATTGTCTGATAATCATGACTTAAAAAAATAATCATTTGAAAAGGAGAGAATGTTGTTTTCATTGTCCCCTAAAATTTTAGCTATTCATCAAGTGATCGCACCCTAAATTCCTTATGTAACAATCCTCTATGTCAAAGAAAAACATTGATGAATTCCACCGAAATGAATGAACTCTAACGATATAGTGTACACATAAATGGCGGTAATTAATCTAGTAAACTTTATAAATTTTGATAATATATACTCTTTTCATTTCAAAATATAAGTCACTTTACACTTTGCACGTAAACTAACGAGACAATTATTCAACAATTAATTTATGTATTAAATATCTGTTTTATCACTCATTAATTACATGAGAACTATAAGCAAAACTAAATAAAAATGGATTGACATTATTTACTAAAACGACTTACATTTTGAGGGTAAAGTTGAATATGTAGTCATTAATATGTCTTGAAATACTAAAACGACTTACATTTTGGAAAATTTCTCCAAGTCTAAAACAAATTACATTTTGAAATGGAGAGAGTATTTCATGCATGAGCACATTCTTCCATTCTGAAATAAATAAAGGTTTTAATAAAGTTGATAAATTCCAAAATACACTGCTTTCTAATTTACTTTTTTTTTGTTACAATGAAAGAGGCGATATACCTATGATGCGAGCTTAATACAAGTTTAGGGTACGAAACTCCAATAACATCATCGTCTAACCAATTCACTTTTTAAAGAGTATGTATGGTGTCTAATAATACTTATTTGTTTTAGAATAGAATGAGTGTCATTATTTAAAACTGTGAGGAAATAATAACATAATTGGAACAGAAAGACTTATATGTGTAGCTTTATGCAGCCGCAGTTTTTCGCCAGTATATCCTAAATTCCGCAAAAAAAAAAAAAAAAGTGTTTTCTTTTCTTCCACTGACGAAAACGAGATAGGCAAAGCCGTTCTTATATATAAACACGTAGTCACAAGTCACAACGCAAATCCATAGTCCTTGTCTCTTTGATCACTCCAATTAATAAACTTTATATTAAATTCATCCCACCGCCCTGGACTCTGTTCCAATTTCTGATAAATTCGTATTATGATTTATGAACACTCATCATCACTGAACCTTTCGTCATCACCACCTTTGTACTATTTCAAAGAATAAATTTTTTTCGGGTTCCTTGGCTTTACACTTGTGTAAATTGGATTTGATCACCATTTTTCTTGGGTTTTCTCCCTCTTCTTCTTCTCCTCACAGTTGACAGTGTTTATCTTTGATCTTCCAGAGAAAGCAGAAAACTTTGAGCAACCATGGCTACTCCCAAGTTAAAAAAACTGCCTAGTATTAGGGAAAGAGTCGAAGACACTCTTTCTGCTCATCGCAACGAACTTATTGCTCTTCTTTCCAGGTATTTTCAACAAAAGAATTCTGGGTTTTTTGTTTGCATTTCTGTATTTCTTCAAATTTTATGGTTGTTGAATTTCGTGCTGATTCTGTTCTCTCTTTGTGTGTGTGTGTGTGTGTGTGTGTGTGTGGAAGATATGTGGCGCAGGGGAAAGGAATATTGCAACCCCATCACCTGATAGACGAACTGGATAACATGACGGCCGATAAAATCGGTTGCCAACACCTTAGTGATGGTCCCTTTGGCGAAGTCCTTAGAACTGCTCAAGTAATCTTCTTGATGCTTCTTTTTCGTTTTTCTTTATACTCTTGGGGTTGTTCGTTTTTGTACCGTGTAAATTCATTGAAGTTGGTATCTGGGTTGTGGATGATACTTAAGTTACTAATCTACTTTGACTTGAAATATTAAGACGCATAAAAAATTGGAAAAAAAGAATCACAGAACAGGGGATTCGTATGTTGTTGTTTCTTTTCCTTACTTCTCTTGACTTGCTTTACCAGAAAGTTGGCTAATTCTTCGTTTAACTAAAAGTTGTTAGTTTGGCTTCTAATTTTGGACTTAATTCTAACCATTAAAGCTAGAAGCCTGTTGTGAGTCATTTTGTTTTGGTCCAAAATTTTGTAGCTATATATTAGTAGTCGTCCTATTTCCTTTGTTCTTATGCAATTTTGGATGGTTACCAAATGCAGGAAGCTATTGTTTTGCCTCCGTTTGTTGCTATTGCAGTCCGGCCAAGGCCTGGTGTTTGGGATTTCGTACGTGTTAATGTTTATGAACTTAGCGTGGATCAGTTAACGGTTTCGGAGTATCTTCATTTCAAGGAAGAACTAGTTGATGGACAGTAAGTTACTCTGATGTTTGTTATGGCTATGTCTGTGTGCCATTTGTTGATATTGTTTTGTGGTTACAGCGTATGACAGTTTAACTACTTCCGTATGTGTTCCAGGGTTGATGATCCATTTGTTCTTGAGCTGGATTTGGAGCCTTTCAATGCATCGTTTCCTCGTCCAACCCGTTCTTCCTCCATTGGCAACGGGGTTCAGTTTCTTAACCGTCACCTCTCTTCAATCATGTTCCGAAATAAGGACTCGCTCGAGCCATTGCTTGATTTCCTTCGAGCACATAGACACAAAGGGCACGTAAGTACTCTAAATTCAGGATCCCTTTGTAAGATACGCCAATTGTTTGATAGCTGATTGGTGTATTCTTTAATGTCATATGGCTACCCTTAGTGTTGGAAGGAAGAACTAGTTTGGTGGAAAACCGTATGGCCTTTACCTTGAATGTTGTGTAATCTGAGTTCAACCTTTATGGGCAGATGTTGATGTTGAATGATAGGATCCAACGTATATCCAAGCTTGAGTCTTCTCTGTCAAAGGCTGAAGATTATCTTTCTAAGCTTCCTTCTGATACGCCTTCTTCAGAATTTGAATATGCGTGAGTTATTTTCTTTAGATCTGCTCTTTCAACTTTTAATTTTTTTGCTAGAGAGGGGTTCTTTAATGTTTGTGTACAATTACACGTGAGCAGGTTGCAAGAATTGGGCTTTGAGAGGGGTTGGGGTGACACTGCAGGAAGGGTTCTGGAAATGATGCATCTTCTCGGTGACATCCTTCAAGCACCTGATCCATCTACCTTAGAAACATTCCTGGGTAGAATTCCGATGGTGTTTAACGTTGTGATTTTGTCTGTTCATGGATACTTTGGTCAAGCAAATGTCTTGGGCTTGCCCGACACTGGTGGCCAGGTACTTGTTTTTTCTGTTTTGAGGAAAGAATGTTCATGCCTTCACCGAACTCTTTCATGTGAAAGCTTTATATTCTGTTGATAGAGATGGTAAAAGTTTCGGAATTCTGTAACTGTTGATTTTTCAGGTTGCAAAAGAGCCTGGATTCTCTTCATTAATTCTTTGGTGATGTACAGATTGTCTATATACTGGATCAAGTGCGTGCTTTAGAGAATGAGATGCTTCTGAGGATCAAGAAGCAAGGGCTACAAGTCACTCCTCGGATTCTTATTGTAAGCATTATATTTTCTGTATCTGCTCCCCCATCACATTTTAGTTGGAAATTGCTGTCATTTATCTTGTCAATTTCTTTATTGGGGCTAAGTCAAATTTTTAAGTGGATTTGGGATTTTCTTTTTCTTTTTCTTTTTTGGTTGTTGATTTGAATAGGTCACCCGGTTAATTCCTGATGCAAAAGGAACCACCTGTAATCAGAGGTTGGAGAAAGTAAGTGGAACTGAGTACTCGCACATTCTACGTGTTCCTTTTAGAACTGACAAAGGAATTCTGCGCAAATGGATCTCAAGGTTCGATGTGTGGCCTTACCTGGAGACTTTTGCAGAGGTGACGACTGATTCTTTGGAATGATGGTAGTTAATAGACAGGTTTACGTATTAAGAAATGATGTGAAAGCAACTAGATATCTGTCATAACATGTTGAATATCTGAAATACTATGAACATCTAAATTTGCAACCTCATAAGTTGATTGTTAATCTGGTGACCCTTCTTCTTAACTGCTTAAAAGCATCCTTTTTTTGGCTAAAATGATTAGTTGATACTTCATTGCACAATTTCTCGGGGTATCCAACTCGTAGTACAGAAACTCTAGTCATGGCTGCAATTTGAAAGAGCATTTTTGCTCCCAGCAATAGTGATATTTATGTTTAAGTCATGTGCTTTTGTCACTGTAAGAAATTATTTTGACTTGGATTTTTTCTGGCCAGGACGCTATGCATGAAATCACTGCTGAGTTGCAAGGTAAACCAGATTTTTTTATTGGCAACTACAGCGATGGAAATCTGGTTGCCTCTTTATTAGCTCACAAGCTTGGAGTTACTCAGGTTGGAATGTGTCTCCATTTGCTATATCCGTGATGTGAACTATCTTGTTTTAAAAAGCTCTACGTTTGGTTGAAGTGAAAAGTTATGCTTCTTTTTCCTGAACTTCACAGTGTACCATTGCGCATGCCTTGGAGAAAACAAAATATCCGGATTCAGATATATACTGGAAAAAGTTTGAGGATAAATATCATTTTTCGTGTCAATTTACAGCTGATTTGCTTGCCATGAATCACTCAGATTTTATAATTACCAGTACGTACCAAGAGATTGCTGGAACGTGAGTCTCCTGGTCCCATGCAACTGTTGGTCGTTTCATTTTGATTTTTTCTTATTGTGTTGCTGATGCCTTGTTCTAGATACTCACTCTTGATTTTTTATTTATTTATTTATTTTTATTTTCTTTTTTGGCTCCCAGGAAGAATACTATTGGTCAATATGAAAGTCACACGTCGTTCACTCTCCCAGGCCTATATCGTGTGGTTCACGGCATCGATGTTTTTGATCCCAAATTCAATATAGTTTCGCCTGGTGCAGATATGGCAATTTATTTCCCTTACTCTGAAACAGATAAAAGGCTGACTGCACTTCACGGTTCCATTGAAAAATTGTTATTTGACCCCGTGCAAAATGATGAGCACATGTGAGCAACTCTTCCTATGTGTCCTTTATTAATATGCACATTGATAGATTTCTGGGTGTGCCTGAAAATGGGTATGTGGCAGATAAGTTTTGTGTTTATGTATGCATGATTTTCTCGATTCACTTAGTATGGTGAGTATTAACTTGCTGAAATCTGGCATAACAAGAAAGTAAATCCTGAAAATCTTGGAGGTGTTCGGACTTGTGATGGTTTTTACCTGTTTAGTTCTTGAATGGTTTTTAATTAAACTTATTCCGATAATTTTGAAGTGCCTCATCCATGATGAACTTATATTTGTGGCTATTCATTAGAAAGTTATCTATTGTTTCCTTGCATTTGTTCTGCTTTGTCATTTGGTATATTCTTAGAATTATATTTGATGTGCTGATGAATTAAGTGAAGCACAGATAAGAGGGGCAGAGCACTTTTGAAAATTAACATATGCTCAAATCATTGCAGCGGTACTTTGGATGATCCGTCGAAGCCCATTATCTTCTCCATGGCAAGGCTTGATCGAGTTAAAAACATCACCGGCTTGGTAGAGTGCTACGCCAAAAATAATGAACTGCGAGAAATAGCGAACCTGGTTGTGGTTGCAGGTTACAATGATGTGAAGAAATCAAATGACAGGGAAGAAGTTGCAGAAATAGAGAAGATGCACAATCTTATGAATCAATATAGTTTGGGAGGCCAATTCCGATGGTTGTCTGCCCAGACCAACAGGGCACAAAATGGTGAGCTCTATCGGTACATTGCTGACAAAAGGGGAATTTTTGTTCAGGTACAGTCTTTGTGTGAACTCTTATGTTTACCAACTACAAAATTATGGGATGCCTTTCTTCAAATAAGAACACTAATGCTCAAACTTCTCCTGCAGCCAGCATTTTATGAAGCCTTTGGGCTTACTGTTGTAGAGGCAATGACATGTGGCCTTCCTACGTTCGCAACTTGCCATGGTGGTCCTATGGAGATCATTGAAGATGGGGTATCAGGGTTTCATATTGATCCTTATCACCCAGATAAGGACTCGGCACGCATGTTAGAATTCTTCAAGCGGTGCAAAGAAGATCCAAGCTACTGGGAGACAATTTCTAAAGGAGGGCTGAGGAGGATTTACGAAAGGTTATAAAATTTCTTATATAATGAAATTCTGATCTGGTTTATATTTAATTTGTCGATGACCATCATTTTCCTGAGCTGTGTGAAGCTTCATATTACTCATTGACCCCCCTGCAGGTATACGTGGAAAATTTATTCAGAGAGACTGATGACTTTGGCCGGAGTTTATGGGTTCTGGAAGTATGTTTCGAAGCTCGAAAGGCGTGAAATCAGGCGATATTTGGAGATGTTCTATATTCTCAAGCTCCGGGAATTGGTAAAAATACCTAATACACTTCATTCCCTTCTTCTCCTTCCAAATTATATGTGCATGTACATATTCGATAATAGCAACATCTTCAAGACATTGTCATATGATGCTAATCTAATCCGTTTGTTTTTCTGTTTTTCAGGTTAAATCTGTTCCTTTGGTTGTTGATGATCAGCACTAGGGGGTGAATGTGAGCTGCATGATTGGTTGGAATCGATGCTTAAGTGAAAATGTGGCTTTTATGTATACGTTGGTTGCCATTGTGAATACCCTTGTAATAAATGCAAAATATAACAAATAAGGAACCAAGAAATTGGCTGATATGGCATCCTTTCTAAGGGGGCCTCATCCATAGGATCGTGAGATGGTTGATGAAGTTGGAGCATATGCTATGAAATGCTTCAAATAAGTACTGTAATGTGAATTCAGTGGCCGTTATGAGCTTTCTTCCTGAGGTTACAAATTTTTGGGAGTTTTAGTTTTAGTTTTGATTAAATGTGAAATAGTACTTGCCTCTTTATCGGAAATTATACATGATCAAGTTGCAATAATAATAATAAAAAAAAAGTTCAAAAGTGTAAAATAAAAATGTCAGTGAATAGGAGGGAAAATGGAAAAGATTCTAATTGTGTGATAAAAAGAGAAACACAAATGACCACACTTTTAAGACTCGCGCATTCTTGCATAGTACAAAATCCTAACCGTATATTCATTCATTGACGTGCTGTTCGAAGTTCTGGTTTCAGAATATGGTTTAATGAGCATCTGAACTTGTTCAGTTTTAATTTCCCGTTAATAAAAGTTTATTAAAGATGAACAAAATGATTCTTTCATAAGGAAAGGATAAAAGTAAAAGTTACAACTTGTAATAAATTACAATCAATTAGTACTTGCAGGGAATGGATGCGCTTAACCATCCAGGCCACAAGATTTACAACATTTAACGTTTTTTCTACCGACAAGCACTTAGTATAAGTGATAAAGATATTGGGTCAAATTAATTATGATCTGGATTTGAACCCGATATGGACATGCAACAATAATTAAATTAATTGTTGGGAGAATTTTGTCTCTTGAAAAATAACTATCCGGCTCGAATAAAATGTATTCAAAGCAATGATTTGAAACATCGAGTTCATAATATACCGAAGAAAAAACAGTTTTTCTGGCTTACCTTTCAAAAATTATTACTCGGACTATTATGAATGCAAACCAGAAAAATCTTTCTTTCAGAAACACTGGTATAAGAGCTCAATGGAAAAAGGGTTCCCAAGTTTTGACATTTTCTACCATGGAGACCCGAAAAAAAAAAACAGAAGTCATTGTTGGTTTTGTTACTTTCTGACAGGGACACAGTACAGTTGGAGGAGGAAGCAGCTTTTTTGACCACGTGATTTTACCATCACCCTTCTTAACACGCCTCTAACGTGACGTCCCGAAGATTCTGGACCCCTTGTTTTTACACCAGGAATGCCCAGTTTTACCGCCGTAACTACTACTGCACAAGTCATTCCAACACGAGGATATTGTTACATAACAATTTTAAAAGCTTTAAATGAATATAAAGAATAAGCATACAAATCTTTATTGCCAAATGAGAATAATATTAAAAATTTAAGGTGGATGCAAATTTTATATAACCAAATATTGTCTCTTTTTTTATCAAAGAAGAAAAAATAATTTTATTTCTATTGATATAATTATAATTTTTGACCAAAAATTATTTTTCTGTTTCAGAAAAATAATTCACTTTACAATCCACAATATATAAGGTGCCTTATTTTTATAGGATAGAAAAATTTTTTTTTTTTTTTTGGGGGGGATAAAATGGTGAAGTTTTCACTACCCTACGGTCGCGGTAATATGTAACGTCTAATGGTGAATAATGAATACGGGGTCCCACCAGCCGATGGTGAAATGTGAATATAAAGGGTTTCTTCTTCAACGGTCAAATATTGGGGCCCTCACCCTTTCCCTCCAAAAGTCCAACGGTAAGAAGTAAAACATTCATTTCAGGAAGTTTGCCTTTCGCGGTCTCCAATGCTTTGTTCCGTTTTTCTGCGTCTGCTTCCCCCTCTGTACTCTACTACTCTTCCCATTGATCATTTCTTCAGTACTTACATGAAAATGGCAAAAAATTAAGAACCCCTAAAAATAGACAAATGAAATTTCCTTTTTCCTCTTCCTCAGCTTTTACTTTTTCCTTTTGGCCTCAAACTTCAAAGACAATGAAAATGTTAATCGTGTGTGATATCTTATTAGTGATCCGATATCTTGATTATCATATTTGTTGCAAACTGCTACATCAAGATAGATCCACGCCAAAATGTAATTTTAATTAGAACTCGCATTCACTGGCATTAACAAGAGGGAGTACTTGATTATCATATTTGTTGCACGATTTCTAAATATATAAAATGCTACATCAAGATAGATTCACGCCAAAACGCAATTTTAATTAGTACTCGCATTTACTGGCATTAACAAGAAAGAGTACACGCATTAAAGCCTAATAGAGTAAAACACATAGGCTTGGTTCCAAGCAACGGGCAAATTATGCACAACTTTGTTTTTTTCGAGCCTCTTTTCTTTCTCGAGGTCTCGGTTCCAATTGTCAAATTTGCCACATTTTTTTTTGGATCACTACAAACTTAGACCTAAAGCCACCAAAAACTACAATTAGTAATTTAACTTAACCAATAATAATATCACTACTACTCATAAAACCCCCTCAACGGAAAAGGGTATTATGGTATTTTAAACATCACTTCAGAGTTGGCCAAATGAGTGAGCCAGGTAGGCAAGGGATCCAACCAAGGGTGCGTTGATGTAAGTGGCGGGTTCGGATTGCTCATAATCCGACCGTTTGTCAGGGAAACGGTCCTTCAAATCGGGTCCACCCACGATTGCCCCGTACAGGATGTTAGGATTAGGAGAGTTGGAGTTCATGTAACTGAACCCGGCTGAGCATTGGATCTTTGCCGGGTGGGCTGCAACAGAAGGCAGGGATGATCCCCTGTGGTGGATCCTAACCGGGTATCTGGATCCGTATCCAACCATGAACGACATTTTCAAAGGATTGTCTCCCAACAGATAGTCCACCTGCAAACATTTTTCCACAATTATTAGAGCCAAAATTCCACATAATAAATTGGCAATGAGAAAAATACCATCAAGGGAAATAGAAGCCTTAATTTTTCACCTGTTTTTTGGCAATGGAACGAAGCCTTTTTGGTGTGATGATGGTGCCACCACAATTGACCACTGTGTGAGCTGAGGTTAAATACTTAGCATAGGAAAGGATCATGAAAGATGTTGATGTCACATACTGCATGTTGCCATCACTCATCTTATACAGAAGCCCGCCTGAAATGACATTAATGAATCACACACACAGTCACACACCAACCAAATTAAAATCTGTTCACTTCCATCTGTTTATTATTATTCCAGAAGGAATAAATGAAAGGAATTCATTAAAATTAAGACCTGGGGTGTATTGAGATTGAGAAGTTGAGGTCCCTGGAATGAGAGAACAGATGAAGTTGTCTGCATGGCCTTTGTAATCATGGAGGGATTGAACTTTCTGGACCAGGAATGCCTGCAAAAGAATCTCAACTTTATTAGCCTCTGAAATTTGCAGAGGATATTGGTTCATTCATTAGTAACTAATGAAAGTGGTAAAGATTTGATGAGAAAAAAAAAAAAGAAAAAACTACCTTAGAAAGAAGAATTCTAGCACCAGCATGCTTGTTGTCCCAACAGAATGTGTTATCCATCTCACTTGCTCCCAGTGTTTGTCCATTCACTTGAATGTAGTTGAGGTATTTTGCATTCTTGGTGGCTTTGTGCAGCCAAGCAGCACCCCACAACAGTTCATCCTTTTTTGTTCACATCAAGAAGGAAAAAAATTCATTCAATAACCAATTTGACAAACAACAAACAAAGAGCCTAAAGGACAGGATTTCAGTGAACTTTAAAAGAAGCAAGATTCTTTACCTCATAACCAGAAACTGAACAATAATAAGGGCACACCCAAGGCCTCAATCCACCATTGCTGTAAGAACCTCTGTACTTGTCCGCAAATTCAAACACCTAACATGTACACCCAAAGAAAAGAGAAATTAAACATTTCTGCATTGACCACCTTCTTTTAGCACTACACAATTTCGTGAAGTTTAAGGTTAATAACATACTAATAAAACAGTCAACAAACTTACCCTGATAGCTCGTTTGACCAGGGTCTTGGAATAAGTGGGGTCACATTTCCTGAAGACCAATGAAGCAGCTGCAAGAGCCGCAGCAGTTTCAGCAGCAACCTCAGTACCTGGATTGTTCTTGTCAACCTTAAAAACACTTCTTGGTGTGTCCATATCCTCTGCCCTTTCCCAGCAAGCATGGTCCTTGGTTGCATCTCCAACCTAAAAAGTAAAAAACCCACCAACGAATAAAACCCAAAACTTTAATCTGGTCTTTACTAAAATGAACAGAATCTAACAACAAACAAAGAAAACATTTTTTTTATTTTGCTAACCTGAACATAAATGGTGTCTGGTTTGGCAGTGGCTTTGAGAAGGTAATCAGTAGCCCAGCGAATGGCTTCTTTAGCATTCATGAGTTCCCCTTTCATTAGCCCACCAAACTCAATCACACTCCATGACAGCATAGTAGTGGTGAAAGCCATTGGAAAACCAAACTTCACATTATCCCCTGCATCATAGTATCCTCCCACCAAATCAACCTGCATTGTTCAAATTCACACATTTTTAACACCAACCCACAAAATCAATAACCCAAAACAGTTTAATTTAAACAGTAAAAATGACTCCTTTTTTTATTCGTACATTGGCTGCAGACCCATCAGACAAGCCAGAATCTTTCCTCCAAGTGATCCTCTGGTTAGGTGGGAGCTTCCCTGACCTCTGGCCTTCAAAGAACATAATAGATTTGGTCAGGGCATCTTTGTAGTTGTGGGAAGCAGACCGGCGGGGCTGACGTTGTTGGCGGAGGAGAGGGGAAGAATGTGGGGCTTGGGCCGGGTTAGTTGTTGAATCAGCAGCAGCATTGCAGAGAAGCAGGGGAGTGAAGCAAAGGGAAAGTAGAAGAAGGAAGATGGAAGCAGAAATGGTGCCCATTGATTGAAGGAATGGAGAAAAAAAATGTACACCAAAAAAAAAACACAAGGGGAAAAATGGTACACAGAAAAAAACCCAGTGGAGAAGAACCCTCTTTTCTCACCCCCACCCCCAGAAAGCAGAGAGCTTTCTTCCCGTTCAGAAGAAGCTGAGGTTTATAACTGACAAGTTGAAGTAACCAACTGGAGGGCTTCTCTGTGTATTTATAGCCCCCAAAAAAAAGCCTGCCTTTTCCTTTTGTTACTAACTTCCTGCTTGCTTGCTTACTTGTAATAAATTGTAATTATGAAGCCCAACACCAAACGTGGGGTTGCGAAACTCTAAGGCTTTGTTTGGCTTTGTTTGTATCGTTTTTTCACAGTGTGGTTTTAGGTATTTTTTGTATTGAGAATGTAAAAAGGTACATTAAAAATGTAAAAGTTATTATTTAATTATTTTGAAAAAACTATAAAAAAAACCTTCCAAATAGAGCCTAAGTATTCTTTTCGCCTCATTTTAATATATTACCAAGGAAAAAATATTCAGTTTTTTGTAGTTAAGAGTGACATCGATGTTATATCTCTATAATTATTAACATCAATGAATATGAGAGGATTGGTTGTAATTCAATTGATTTTTTTTTTACACAAATTCAATTGATTAATTTATGTATGAAGCTAGGGAGGCTAATATTGTTTTGTGGTGAACTATTAATCCTCGCTTGCGGTATTAAGTTTATGGGGTTATTATAAACTAGATGATTCACTGAACGTAGTAAAACTGTGATTAACGCGTGATGTAATAGATACTTTATATTCAACTAATGTTGTAATGCCACAGTCCTAAGTTTTTCATTTTGCTCATTTGTACCAAAAAAAGAGAAAGAAAGAAAAATCACAAGCAATTGCACACTTCTAATAATCTAGTGAACCGATTTTTAACAAAGTTAATGATAATATGTACTTAGGGAGAGAATACATTATAAGTCTTACACTTTCGGGTGCTCAAAGGATTTTAAAGCATTTAAAGAATTATAGTAGTTCTTAATTCTTACACTTTCAATGCTTAATTGGTACGGAGTTATAAACTTCAAAGGAAGTGTCCGTGAAGGGAATACGAACAGGGGTTCCACGTGACGCAGTCAGATTGGCTACAAAGTCCCTGTCTGATGTTCCGATGTGTACTTTAATTTTGTTGATTCACGTTCATTTCTATCCTGTGTGGCTGGGCAAAGCAAATTTTATTTTTCTATTTGCTTATTAAGGAGTGAACTAACATTGTCACACCTCATGCGGCGTAATAACGTCAAACAAAGGATGGATGAACAAGGAGAAAATATAAATGGCGAAACCTATATACGTATGAGTGATACTCCCTCCATTCTAAAATTATTGAATTCAAATTGTACTAAAAGTGAAATCTCAAACTAAACACTAATTTTGAGACGGAGGGAGTAGTATAGAAAATCACAAGTTCAAAAATTCTTTCTGACAAAAACTATCCGACTGCTAATCTTTCATCCTTACCATCGCACTATATCCATTGAAACGGAACTGGAAGAGTCATCATTGACAATTCTTTCAGTTTTGTGTTAAAAATAGATTAAATAAAAATGGCTCATTTAAATTTCGGTGCTTCTTAATTTGGTGAATTTAGAAGAAAATTGGTATTTTATTTAGAAAAATAAAAGCAGAGAATAAACTAATAAAGTGAAGGACTACATTTTTTATTTCTTTTTTTAAACTGAATACATCAAATGCCTTTTTATAGGCTTAGTTTACAAATATGATAATTATGTAAATTAACTTATTTTATTTAAGTGATAAAGATAAGCAATTCACTTGAAATAACCAATTAGATGAAACTCATCTAAAACTTCTAATTCCGTTGTGCTTTATCTCTTAACATTCCCCCGCAAACTGTGCTGGGACTGAAGAATTAAGGGCTGAAGGCGCAGTTTGTTGTAGAATAGAGTCCACTAGATGGATTGCTTGAAACTTGATTATGAGCTTGTTGTGAAGGTCTCATATTATGGATCTGGATCAAGATTTGTGAAGCTGCAATAAAAAATAAAAAATAAAAAATTTTGTATTGTGGTAGATTACCAATGTCACACAATCTTGGTTTGAAAGTGTAAATGTGATCTCCAATGACCATGTTACCATTTTTTGTGAAGATATGTGAATTTTTCTAATAATTCTCCAAAAAATATGTGTACTTCATTTTTGAGTACTTTTCGGAGAACTATATGTGTAAAAAAAAATGACAAGTTCAAGGAATTTTCTCGGACTTATGCCATGATTGAAATTTTTTGAATGGATTCAGATGAGATTCTTCTTCTTTTTCTTTTTTTTTTGGTGGTGATGAATGAAATTGGAGGATGAAACAATGGTTGAGTTGTGAGGTAACCGATAGGTCCTTGGCTCTGTGCGGCAATCTCTCCGTAATGAATAATTGACTGGAGAGAATTTTAGAATGATAAAATTTTGAGTATCGATGAACAGAAATGCAGAAGTCATGATTAGACATATATGTGGAAGCTAAAAAAAACCTTCAGACGCAGGATAGAACCTGCTCTGATACCAAGAAGAAAATTGGTATTTTATTTAGAAAAATAAAAGCAGAGAATAAACTAATGGAGTGAAGGACTACATTTTTTATTTACTTTTTTAAACTGAATACATCAAATGCCTTTTTATAGGCTTAGTTTACAAATATGATAATTATGTAAATTAACTAATTTTATTTAAGTGATAAAGATAAGTAATTCACTTGAAATAACCAACTAGATGAAACTAATCTAAGACTTCTAATTCCTTTATGCTTTATCTCTTAACAAAGTTTTTGAAAATCAATACATCAATTCATCAATGTATCTTGGGTCGTACTACTTAAACAGTCCTCTGTATTGATATACAGAGGTAAGACTGCGTATATCTTGACCCCCTAGACCCTAACCGAGTTGGGAATATGCTGGGTTATTGTTGTTGTTGTTGTCTTTGTTGTTGTTTGTAAGTGGGTAAATAATATGGGGCACCCGGAGCGCACCGGGCTGGACAGGCGCGCACTGTGCGTCTGCTCACTGCTCTTTTTTTTTTTTCTTTTTTGATTTTAATTTTGTAATTTATTTATTTTAACCTTTAAAATATTTTCTGAGTGAAATTTCAGTTCTTACAACATGCAATTAATATATTAGGGTCTAGTGTGTGATATAACATGGATAACTTATAAATTTTTTTAATCCAATTAGGCTAGGGTCTCGTTTACCAAATAAAAAAAATTAATTTATTTAGTGTTTAGGGTTTAGGACAGTTTAAGCATTTTAATTAAGTTGGGTCTAGTAATTAATATTTAGAGTTTAGGAGGATTTAATTATTTTAATTAGGTTAGGGTCTAGTAATCAAGGTTTATGGTTTAAGATGCTTTAAACATTTCAATTAAGCTAAGATTTAGTGTATGGTGTAACATGATTAATTCGTAAATTTTTTGAATTTAATCAAGCTAAGACTTTAGCCTAATTAAATCTAAAAATTAAAATGAATAAAAAATATAGTGTGTTTAGTGTTTAAGATTTAGAAAGGTATAATCATTTTAATTAATTAGAGCGTAAAATTAATAAAAATAATACATTTTAAAAAAAAAATTAAAAAAAAAGAAAAAAAGGGGTGAGCGCACGCCCACTGCCCAATGCTACCTATTTAGTTAGCACCGGATGCCCCCATAGAATAACTATTGTAAGTGAGAATCGAACCTTCAACCACCTGGTAATAATCATCCCTATCTTAATTCCTAACCACCCACCTAACCCAACCCTCCCACCCCATCAAAGATGATTTTATACACTCAAAATAGCACAAAAGAAAAATAAAAATTCATGAGTTATATAATTATCTTCACAATTTAAGATCTTACAATTTGTAATTGTGATTTTGTAAACTGCGTGACAACATAATTTACAATTTAAAATAGCGCAATTAATAGGGATTTTTTTTAGGTTTATAGTACTGTCCCTTCATCCTATTAATTACAATATATTTTCAAGATAAAATATTTTAGCGAATAAGACCATAATTATCAAAACACGGGAAGTACTACTTTTGTTGAACAGATTAATAATAAATTAACTATTTTAATGTGTGTGCTTACTTCCCAGTTCCCAGTTATCATCTAACTGGAAAAGAGAAAATATACTAGTAACTGTGAAAGTACTAGGCTTAATTGACTAGTGTTTTTGCAAGAACAAAAATGGGTTGCAGTAATGAAGATGCAAACAGAGTGTCGGAAAAAGAAGACCAACACAGGCATGGCATAATCCATTGCCTCCTTTCTTGAATCTTGAGTTCAGTGTTTTAGTCAAAAAAGTTTCAAAAAACACCCATTTCTCTCTTTACCCCCTTTCCCCCAATCGATCTGCATTTTCTGCAATTTCAAGACTCAACAACGTGAATAGATAGGATTGTAGCCACAATGCCAAGAAAAAAACAAATTCATCCTTGTTCCTCCATCAATCATACAAATATGGAAAATGTATTGAAAAAAGAAGGATGATTTTTCTTTTGGGGGGGTTAAATTATTAGGATAAATTGTTAACCGCCCAACTAGATGAAAATAGAGATGATCGTAATTTAGTTTACTATTCATCGTTAATATTTTGACAGATTGAGAGAATCACGTAACAACTCATTAAAATAAGAACGTAGATAATGAGAAGGAGATAAGATGTTAAATTGTTTTTGTTTTTGTAATGAAATCTACAGTTATGTGGTTATTTGATTAATGTGAAATGGTACACTGGGTACAAACTATATATGATCAACTGGGCAGTATTATATTCTATGGTTTGCTTTATGATATCTTGACCTTTTGCCACTTACCTTGTATAGAGTTTAGAGCAGTAAACAATTCAAAGTTGAAACTCAGAGCATCTCTCTCTCTTTTAAATCGTATATCCCTATGCATTATGATTCATTCTCCGTTCCATTTTTTTCTTCATCGTTTTCACTTCTCTATGCATCTCTTTTTAGCTTTTTTAATTGGTTTTCAACTTTTCATGTTATTAAGGCGCAAGCTGTATGCTTCTCGATCTGCTCAATCAGTCTTCGCGTTGATCTCTGTTTACCGCCAGATTATTTAACTAATCTTTTACTCCTTAATCCAACTCTCACTACGTACAATAAATACTTCTTCCGTCTTTAAATTATTATCCAATTTGGATTTTCATTTTTAGTACAAATTGAACTAAA